AGAAGAGTCCGATGCTCAGAGGCAGAAGCAACTAGCTGATGGCGGTCTCGGTCGCAAGAAGTCCATCGCCCAGCGATTCCGCGGTATCTCTCAGCCCCGTCGTTACGGTGACGGCCCACGCATCACTTCGCCCGAGGCACGCTACGGAGCTGCCACCAGCCCAAGCGGCCCTTACAGCGCCGGAGCCATCTCGCAGACCAAGGCCGCGGAGCAGAACCCTTTTTTCAGCGACGACTACGATAAGGCCTACGACGCCAAGGGCGCAGCCATCAAGACCAACGAGGGCGGAGCTTCACCACCTCGGGGCGCTGCGCTACAACGATCCATCACCACCGACAGCGTAGGATCCCCCACAGGCGAGGCCAAGCCCAGCAATGGGTTCCTCAACCGCGTCAAGTCTCTCAAGGGCGGACGTCGACGTCCCGCTTGAGAAGTCACAGGCATGGTTGAAATGATTCGACCACTTCACTCATCTCTCTCTGAGCGGCTTAAGTCCCTCTCGAAGGACATAAAGACACGATGTATATCGCGCCACGGCGACGACTGCAGCCAGCTTATTTCTCCTATCGTCACACACCTCCCTTCGGGACATACACTTTCCTTCCGTCTGGCGCTGGAGTCGTTGGGGCTTGAAAGCACGAGGTCTGGATACCACTCATGTGTAACAGAACTCAGGCACGCTTCAACAAGATCAAGAAGGCTCTCCCTTCTTCAAACCACCAGCTTCAATTTTTTCAATCGAGTCACTTTTTCCTTTCAATGCGCAGAAATTGGGCTACTTGCATAGCTCTTATAACACATCAAGTTTGCGATAGTTTGGGGATGCGAGGCGTAGAATCTGTAGCTAGGAATCAAAATTTGCAAACATCAAGAAACCATACCATTGGAACTCTACACATGTGATGCCGTTTATTTGCCCCCGTTGATCGCCATCTAGACCCGCTCGATGTTCAGGGGCATCCGACTGTTCCTGGCACCCGCTAGGATCGTCCTTGACGCGTTCCTGTCGCCCAAGAAACCCCCACTCGAGCTTACTGCCCAATCCTTGAGGAGCGGACCTCGACGCCGCAGCTGCGTTGCCCCTGGCACATGACCTGAGGATTTATCACCGATATCAATGCTCTCAGCCGCACGCCACGACGCCAGCACTAAGATCGGCGGCGCGGAAGTTTGGATCGCAAGCCACCACCGTATTTCTCCAGTAAGATCTTCGATGCCACGTTTCGGCGAGATATTTGCCTAGTGTCGGTTAGTCGATTGGATGGTGCGTTGTTGTGGAAGAGGTTAGCTGCGATACGTATCTGCGGGCTGATAGGCGTTGATTGATGCCTCAGGTTTGGGTTGAGCATGTAGTGCATACATAGGCTCAGGATTTTGTAGAGTTAGGACATGACGTGGATGCATCACTTAGTCATTTAGTACGTGAAGAAGGATGGAAGTGCAGGTGCTGCTCTTCTTTGATGAAGGCCTGGCGCGTCGAGACAGCGATGGGTCTAGTTCTAGGCAATGTTGAAGAGATTCCCGCATGCACGTGATCCTGGTAGTCACATTGTTTTCGTTGTCTGTCAACATGTCTCCAAGTTGATGAACAGTAGAATTGTACGTTTTCAACAAACGTTGCGCCTTCCTCTATTCCATCTCGCGCTAGCGCTTCCCTTTCCGAATGCGGTTTCGACAAGCCTGCACCATTACACTCACAGTACCGTGTCTCACCGTCGTACACTAAATGGCGATATGGCTGCCGCTCAACTAGCTATTGATAGGTTGAGTATATCAGCAAGACCCGCAGAGCCGTTGTTTGCATCCCAGTTGATTGGCGACCAAGACCTCGATGAGCTGCTCGAGAGCGTGTGCAATGTCAATCTCCAACACCAAAATGGGGTTGGAGGGAACGTACTACAAACTGAAGTTAAGAGCTTAGACGAATCTTTCGGTGGTGGCATACAGAGCGGAAGAGTTGTAGGAGTCAGTGGAGAAGCTGGGGCGGGTGGGAGTGAGGTGAGTATCCCAATTCTGGATATCGAGCAACAATACATCACGAAGGAGTTCTAAGACAAAAGAGCTACAAACTAACGCTTTTAGATGTGCTGCACCCTGCTTGCGAGCTCTCTTCTTCAATACGAGAACTCGACCGCTGCTGTTGTTGATACTACAGGCAACTTCGATGTACTGCGACTTTACACCATGATCGTCGCTCAACTGTCACGACGACCAGATATCCAAACGTCCTTACGTGTCTCACTAAACCAGGCGCTTGAAATTTCGACTGAGGATCTGGCAGCAAAGGTACTTGACCGTGTCAAGATTATGCGTGTTTTCGATTTCGTGGGTGTGAGAGAGGCCATTGGTGAGATCCGGGATGGGATCGAAAAGAAGAAGGATCTTGAACGTGCTTCAAGTCCTGAGGAGACGAAAGCGACTTTACCCATTGAGGAGTCTGCGCAGGAGAAGCCGCCCGTCGAGAAGGTGCCAGTGAAGCGAACTTATGTCGCGGATAGTGAAGACGAAGAAGACGACGAGGAGATGTTATTCGATTCAGACGTTACCGACACCACAGCAGCGCACCCTGTACAGAACCCAGAGCCAACGCGGATCGAGGCATCAGAAACTATAAATGCAGAGATTGTACCTGGACCAATGAAGATCATTTTGATCGACAACCTCGCTCAAGTCCTCAACCCTTTGTTGAAGAAAGACTATATGCAAGGTATCTACCATTAAACCCCAGCTCCAACATTGACTGACCACTCCCAGCAAACGCAGTAGCAGCCACCTTCCTCACAACGCTCTCAAATCTTACACAGGCCCACGCAATCCACACTCTTCTCGTGAACCCAGCTCTTCCTCCACGCGCTTCCTCACCAAAACGCCCTGTACCACAAAATCAGCTAGGCCCTCTGCCTCCGCAACAGCGACGAGAGCCCCCACTTCCATCTTCCATTTTTGCGAGTAACGATGTTGTACCGAATTTGGTGCATTTACTAGGACGGTACATGGATATGGAGGTGTTGGTGAGTCGGTTACCGAGACGGAAGATGGACGCGAAAGTGTACTACAGTGATTCTGGGGGGAAAGGGACGAAGCGAGGTATTGAGATGGTGAGCGTGCTGGAGATAGTGAGTGATCGGTGGGGAGGTAGGACTGGTGCGTGGGGTACTTTTCGTGAGAGCAAAGATGGCATCAAAGATATTTGAAGTGTGTTCAATTTCAAAATATGAATCTAGGTTGCTGACGCAGAGGCTTTTAGGGAGAAGTGGTCGTCACCAGTATTTCTTACCCATCCCTTCAGTGCTTTGCGTATGTCATCTTTGACTTTGATCCTCTCTTCCAGCCCTTCAGACTTTTTCAGGTCCGCATACGTCTTCATGCGAAGCGCCTCACTAGCCGCCACCGCTCCACCCAATACTCCTGCTAAACGAAGAGCTTCCATACATAGTCCCTTCCGACATATTTTACTTGCTCCCCGGGGGTCTAATTGTTTCCGACCCTGCAGGACACCGCCGATCAAAGTCTCCTGCCAGCCTGGCGTCCACACAGCGGAGAGATTACTAGGCACCGCTTTCTCGGCAGTAGATAATGCGCGGCGCGACCACGTGAACTCGCGGGTGGTTGGAAGGATATTGAACGGTTGGAAACGATAGCCGCCTTTCCACTCTGTGGTATGCTTAGGGCCGAGACTCTTGAGTCGACCTGAGGAGGAAAAGGCCCGCTCGCATGCTTGTGGTACGTATTGGGAGTCTGGCAGAACCAGAGTCTCCAAGTAAGCATTCCGAGGGCTGATTAGTAGAGATGATGTAGATGACAGCAAGGAGGTAGCTTGTTTGACTGCCAATTTGTCGGTGCAAGATTTGCTCAGCGTAGGCGGGGCATCAGGTCGCGAAGGCTTTGCACGGACAATGCCTAGAAGAGAGAAGTTCGACCGACCTCGAAGAGCCAAAGTGTCTACTTGGTCAACTGCATCAGATGCGGTAGATAGAGTTGGTGGTGCACTAGTCCACGGCGTTGCATCTTCCTGCGCAGCCATGGTGAGCTCCATACTGGCATCTCCACAGGGAGCTTCAGAGCAATACATGTGAATGGACACATCTTCTCGGATGGTGAACGGCTGGCGTAGACTTTCGGAATGTTCGTCAGGCGACAGCCTCCGAAGGAAGTCGGATGTTGGATAAGGCGGCGTCGAGATGAGCATGCATTCATCTAGAAGGTATCGGTTGAAGGCTCGGAGTGCTATGACTTCGGCGTGCCAGTCGTGGAGGATGTTGCCGTGTGCGAGGGGTAATTTGTTGGAGGGGAGACATTTCATGCCAGTTCTAAGAGAAGTTCAGCTGGTGTCATGACTTATTCACAGGTCGTATCGTAGTATGTTCGAGCATGCTGAGTTCAGAGCAATCCAGGAGCTCCGGTTCCTCAGTGGGGCGTTTTGCCCCTGCTGTCTGAAGTGTATGTGTGGTGTCACACCCGGTAGATAACTGGACTACACGATACCCGTTGAAGAGACAGTCTTCGGAGGTCGGCTGATGGAAATGGCTCACCCTAACGATACGCATGATAGAGCGCCACCTTGACTAGGTCATGAGCATAAGCAAGCATAGCTCCTTCCGGAAGCAAGTGAGCGATTACCTTTAGATAAGACGATTCCGGCGAGGGGTACCCATTCCCTTGCGCCATCGTGGCGGGGTCTCGGCTTCCGCTTTTCAGGTAGCTGAGCAAAGGCCCGGAGCACGCAGTCTGCGATGGCATCTGCGGCGGCGTCTGCAGCCATGGCAGTGAAGCGAGGTGGTGGGTGAAGGAGCGAGGGCGCGGTTGGGGCTCGGAGCATCCGGGGAGCCAGGCACGTCAGGGTCCATTGTTACCTTCGCAGTCGCAGAGCATCGCTCCTGCTACTCAGTCACAAAGAACCCTGTCACACGCTCAGCGCGAGTGAGACCCAGACTCCTTCACCTCCCCGTATCGCCTTGTTCCTCCTCTTCTCTTCTCAACATGCAAGCGTTTGGTGAGCAATGGCCGTGCGCCGCACCGTCGCATTCGCGACTCAGACACTCACAATCACAGTACCCAAGAACCGACGAGTAAGACTGAGCCAGCACCTCAAAGTTACACGGGCTGACATTTGCGCAGCCAAAATTTGATCTGCACCTACGAGTGAGCTATCCATACACAGGCATACGACCACACTCTGACGACAGCAGATAATCGACCTCAACAACGTACCACTCGTTTCTGGCACCTCATTCATAAAATGGCACCTCTCCCACTCGACGGCCGCCGAGCACCGCGGTCGCACAGATAGCTGCCAAGTCAAAGACCATAAAGTCGCCTACAACTACGACATCACCCTCCCCGTCCGTCTCACCGTCGACAAGAATGGCATGCTGCAGGAGTGTTATGTCGAGTTGGAAGTTGTGCAAGAATATGGCCGAGGCTCAGGAAGGGGCGAGCGCATCACGTTAGGAACGGTCAAGCTCAACCTGGCCGAGTACGTGGAGCAGAGCGAGATGGCGACCATCGCGGGCGAAGAGCCAGGCGTCACGAGGAGGTACCTCATGCAAGACAGCAAGATCAACAGCACGCTCAAGGTCGGAATTTATATGAAGCAGACGGAGGGCGACAAGAACTTTGTTGCGCCGGCCTTGAAGACTGCGCAGGTCTTCAGTGGCATCGCTGGTATCATGGCGGGAGAGCAGGCCGAACTTGAGGACCACGGAGGTAAGACACTCTGAACTATACACGGGACTCGTGCTAACGCCCACAGCTGCGCCCTCCCTGACGAGCAAATCCCGCGAAGCCGGCGAGCTCCAAGACATGTACAGACGCACCCTCGCCGCATACTGGTCCGCACAACCTGGCGAGCTCAAGGCAGACGAATGCATCGAAGACATATTCGCTGGCGGAGACGGATGGGGCGACCGCGAGAAACCATACTCCCAGCAGCCACGAGCTCAGCCCTTGCGATTCGCAGCAGGCGATAGCAGCAGCTCTGTGAGTGAGAGCGAGCACGGTCACATGCGCGGCGGCAGCAGCGCTCATCGTAAGTCGCATGAGACACTGCGCCCTGGAGATATGAAATCGAATCACTCGCCTAACGTGCGGGGCCGGGGAAGTTTGGAGCAGCAGGCATCGCAGATGAAGGCAGAGGCGTCGCGCAAGCGACATCGTCCACACCATGAGGTAGATGAGTTTGACCTGCGCGAAGATCTTTGCAGCTGGCGTCGTCCAACTTGAAGGTCAAAAGGTGCCACTGAAATGCAAATTCCTACATTTAATATTGAACTCTGAAGTAATGCTCGCGGGCGTCGCACTATGACGCGCCTCACACGTGAAAGCGCGATGGCAGAATTAGGGCGGTCACGAAAGTTGGAGCACGCATCGCACTTTCCGAGCCCGTCGCTGCCATCCTCATTGCACTTTTTCCCCGCTTCGTCCTCCTTCATGCTTGCGCCCCGGACCTCGAGTGCATTTGTATGCCTCCGATGTGAAGCGCAAATTGCCCGACGGCGACTGCCCGCTTTTCCTCGCCCACCATCCCGAGCCAGGTTTTCTGCGTCTGCACGCCGCCGCGGTGATGCTGAAGACGAGCAACCACCGCCTCTGAAGATCACAAAACAAGTGACGCCGATCAATCGCTTGAGGAAGAGGAAGGGAGAAAAGATCCTACGAGAAACTTCGCAAGATCTGGGCGTCAAGCGATTGGGCGACGATGCCGATATCTTGGTCCTGAGGGAAGTCGGGGAACCAGCACAAAGAGAAGCCACCACAACCACCGAAGCCTCCGAAGATGCCGAAGTAATCGAAATCTCCGAACCTCTCGAGGTCCCAGACATTCTTGCCTCAATCGAAGAAGAAGGGAAAGCGCTCGCGCCGGAAGAAATATACAAGCAGATCGAGACCTTGCGACCGAACAACGATGGCGACCCCAATGAGCCGCATCACGTCAAGCAGACTACATTTGTCAAGCTGAGAAAGACCCTCATGAAAGGCTTCACGCAACAGCAATTGATAATCTTCTACTCGGTCGCAAAGAATATACGGCAAGAGAAGGTCAATCAGGGAGTGATCGACAGCATCAAACGGAAGGACCAACTAGGAAACCAGAAGCAACCTGTGGAACGATCAGAATGGCAGCCAGGTACTACGCCGATAACTCAACGCCTGCCTGGCGTTGATCGTATTGTCAAGATCATGGGCTACCGCAAGAACGTCAGCAAGCAGCTGCTTGTTGATCGCATAATGAGGGATGTTTGGAATCTCGTACTCTTGGAAGAAATCGAATCCCCCGGAGAGCTAGAGCTTTCTCTGCAACCGTGGCAGGTGATGCTGCTTAAGGCTGGTGGTACGTACTATAGCATCCTTAATCGTGGATCTCGCTAACATGCCTGCAGACAAAGACACCCTTTTTGACAAGATTCGACGGACCCGACGAGTGAGGCTCGACATGTACAAACCGGATAACGCCCTCCGCATCACATCCGATAAGACGACAGCAGAGTACGCTGCCAATGATATCGAGGAAGCCTTCCAACACACTGAATTGAAGCGGATGAACCTGAACAACTATTTACGCCAGCTAGCAAATGGTCCTGTTGCGTTGGATTCAAAGTCCAATCTGGTAACTTTGTTTTATACACAGAAAGACTTTGATGTCGTCTCGGCTCTGACTCGCACGAGTATTGAGGCAGTCGGCAAGTCTATGGTATGCACAATCTCTGTAAATCGTTCATAACCGAGCTAATTCTTTTAGTTGGTAATCAGAGGCTTCGACGTGAGCTCCATAGAAGAGGCAAAAAGGACACTGGTCAGGTTTTTGCCTTTCAAGGATGCAGCTGAGCGTACCTTCGATACTCAGAAACTAGGAAGTGCCGAGAGTGCAGCGTTCTTGTCGCCGGTTCCTACCGAACACGATTCTTTCAAATACAAGTATCGCAAACGAGAGCTGGGACGTCTGTCAATGCCTATCATGCGGCTCACTGAGCCTGACACTGTCGAAGCTCAGGCTGCGAAACCCGCAAAAGCCCCCAAAACAACACTCCACGGTCTCGTGAACCGGACTCTAGGGACAATTCTGCGACCCGCTTCTGCTGTGCCATTGCCTAAACACGAGTTGAGCAATTGGATACCGAACCCAACATACGAGGTCTCCGCCGAATTTGGCCAGGCTCTATTCCCTCTCGAAGATGTGGACCCCAGCCGAGTAGTGGAAGCTGCTCTTTCTGATCCATCCAAGGCACCTTTTCTGTCAACATTCCCAGGACTGAATAGTGTTTTCACGTCGCCCAACTATTCTGTCGTTTCGCGCTTGCAAACACCATCTTTGCACTACGAATTCAGACCTGACCTGGAGCACGAGCCAGGACAAATATTGCCCAAACTCAGGATCCAAATGCGTACTGGTCGCAGTGGTGCCAGAGCCACTTTCCGCAAACTCGCACTGAGCTTCGATCATCGTATCCACGATGTTCTGCTCCCAGACAAGGCCGTAGATGTACGATTTCAACGCCGAGCAAACCTCAGCTTCAATAACAGGGACCACAATGACGAGAATGTACAGGCGTGGGTTGATGCCGTAACAGACAACATTGAGAGCGGTGGTCGCCTCACTGCGCCACCTCTCCGCATCCAGATCCCCAAGTGGACCATACCTGGATTCTCGAGCGAGGAAAAAGGCATGCGTACCGTCACGTATCACTTCTCTGGTATCCAGTTCCGGCAACCGGTGATTGGAGAACTATTCGGTGTAGCTGTTTCGTACAATACTGTACAGTCTGGCAAGCTCGGTGCCAAGGGCGGCGCGCTCACTGCGCATTACAGTGGCCATGGCGATACAGAGTTGCGCGACGAAAGTGCGATGAAAGCCTTTGTGGAGAGGTGTTTCAAGATGGCAGACTTGATCACTGATGCGAGTAAGCAGACACTTCCTCCGTCTCGCGTTGTCCGCCCACGCGATATGAACAGCGGACGGAAGGCGAAAAGAATGGGATTATCGGGCGATCGAGCTCAGGCTGTGGATGAGCAGAGCATTGAGTCGCCGAACGATCTTGTCGAGCGCGTTGGGGAATACCCGGATGTGAAGGACGATGTTGAGGCGAAAGAGAACGCGGTAGCTGTTGAGGATGTGGTGGAAGAGCAGCCAGTTGATGGAAACATGGAGTCACGATCTGACGACTTGGTTACCGAAAGCGAAGACAACGTTCGCACTTTGTAGTCACCAAATTCAACTCTTCAAAGCAACTCTCACCAAAAAACTGGCCATGTTCCTAACTTGTTAGCACTCATCTCATGGAGCGTCACGTCAAGAACATCACAGTGAGATATTTTCTTCGAGCAAATCATCAGTTCGTAAGAATTGATTAGGCCATAGTATGGCGATCTTAAGAAAACACGGATGCAACGAGTAATAATGTGTCCATGTTTCTACATGGGGTATCTACCGTGTATCTTGCATGAGTTGTAGCAGGCCTTCTGCGGCGTCGCTCTTAACACCGCCGACACTGCTAGCCAGACTGTAGTGTTGTTGCTTCATTCTTTGAAGCCTGTAGTGCGGGTTCTCTTCCTGCACGTTGATGCGCTCTGCATCGTGCTCACCCATTCGTGTTCTTGAGTCAGAGTGCGGAGGGTAGTAATTCCTGGGTCGCACAGGCGACGAGAGTTGATCGGGGGCTACTGAGTGGGGCAGTTGAGGCCCGGGTGGTGAAGACGTGAATGCATAGCCGGGCACCATGCGCGATGATGCGGGCATGTTGCCTTGGGGTATGGCGAATTGAACGGGTGCGGGACCGAGCTTGGAGATCGGGTGGAAGGGATCTAGGTTGGCCCTCACGAAGACTGGCCCTTGATCGCGTCGCGGAGAAGATACGGTGATGTTGGGTACGCGGGGATCGCCTAGAGATTCGCGCGAAGTTGTCATGGCGGTTGATCTTGACGCGTTGAGCGCGTCCGACGAGTAAGAGGCGCGAGCTTCGTAGGGTCCAATGATGTCCGCGTCGCGTTTGGTGACTTGATTTGTCTTGAGCTTATACAATCCAAACTTGAGACGCGTGCGCAACTGTTCGGCACGCGATTTCCTCTGTCCTTCCACGGGTGCTGGTGCGGGGGGAGCCGCCGGCATAGCTACACGTTCTCCATGTTCGCTCTTCTGGCTGGCACACAACTCATAGTTGAGAAGGTCGGAGAAGGACTGATTGCTCTTCTGAGACGCTTGGATCGGCTCTGGTTCGGGCGAGGGTGTTGGTGTAGCGCGCTCGGTGGGAGATCCAGGATCTGCGAGGCCAATGGGGTTATTCTCCTTCGATATGTCAGTGGTGTAAAGACGCGTCAGTATCGCGTGTGGCCTACCGTATGCTTCTGCACCGCATCAGTGGTTAGGCGCACGCCGGCGGTAGGAAGACTCTCATTGCGGGCGTGGGCCAGCATCTTCACACTATCAACGGCCTCAGCGCCGTCGACCTCTTCTATGCCCCTCTTCTTGCTGTTTGAGTTGGTCTGGGGAGTCATGAGGTTTTCCTTGCCGACAGGGTTGGTCGGGGTGTGCGTAGTAACCTGCTTCAGCGGGCTTTGGGCTCGAGCGACTTCAGACGGTCCATGAGGGGTAGAGGGCGTATTTATGGCCTTTGGGGTGAGATCCCCAAGCACGCGTCGCGAGGGTGTCTTGGAGGGGGTATACTGAGTGGCCATGTTTGGCCGCTGCGGTGTTGTGGCGCTCATGTTGTCTTTGCGACTTGAGGGATATTGCGACGCGTTGAGACGGGACGAATGACGCGCGTGGATGCGCTCTTGTGATGTGGGACGGAAGTGTAGCCACAAGATAGTACTGATTCTTTCTGTGTCGTGTTCAACGTTGGGAAAGACAAATCAAAACAGAATTGGAATGAGGGTGATGGTGTGGGAGCAGTCGCGTCGCGGTTGGGGAAGTCGCAGCAGAGGCGCTAGGCGACGCGATTGGGTGGCATGTCAGGGTCCAGCTTGGCGAGAAGGCGGGATGGCGCCTGAACTAGCACAGCACAAAGTTGGCATGACTGGGAGGTGTTCCAATTCTATTCCTCAATCATCTATCTACTATCGTTACACATTTGCGTTGAATTACGCGTCGAACGACACCTGTTGGGGCCCTCGAAGAACGCGTGGCGTGAAGGACATCCTCTCTGCACTTTCCCCGTTGCTGTTGCAGAGTCACCTCGACGAGTATTCTACGACAAGGACACGTGGATGATGGTTTGTTCACATCTTCTTAGCCATGGTTCTGTCACTTTGCCGTGAATAGACCACCACGACTCTAGTACGGCGCGTCTCAAGCTAGAGAACCCACGCGTTCGTCAAAGTTCCGAGGCACTTGCACAGATAAGATAGCACGATAAGATGCAGCCACAGTTTCTGTGCACGAACCTACGTGCATGCCGGCCGCACTTGCCTACGGGTCTCCATGCCTTGTCTTACGTCATCAAAATAGAAGCAAATGCACGGCTACGCGGCTCCATTGCTCCACCATGATGGCTCAGCCACACCTACTCACCAGCACAGCCAACCCTATATACACTCGACTTTCAATCCTCAAAACCCCTACAACAGAACTTGTTTAAGTCCAGAGACTCACCTGCACCTTGAAACTCGATCTGAGCATCTATCAACAATCTGTTCGTTACCCAACTGAGGCATCCGCTCACTAGTACTAACCCGATCAGCATATCCACGATGAAGGGCTTCCTTCAAAAAGCCAAAGCCGAACTCAAAGGCTTCACTCAACGCGACGAGCCTTGCAACTCAAAATTTGACGGAGCCGCTGAGGCACAACATCAACACCACTTTCCTCCAGCTCATCAGCAAGGGCAGCAACATGGAATCAGCGATCCGACAACTCTAGATATACTTCGCTACCGCTATCATCATGGCACTAACCTCGGCTCGGTCTACGTCATTGAACGATGGCTTCAAGGCTCTCGATTTCCTGACGGTTCTGAGGGATCAAGCGAGCTTGCAGCAGTACAGGCCTGGGTCGACAAGATTGGCATAGCTGAAACGAAACAAAAGTTCGAAGAGCATTGGGCCAACATCGTAACCGATAACGCCATCGGATGGCTCGCTAATGTAGCCAAATGCACTACCGTCCGCCTGCCCATCGGTTACTACGACCTCCCCGGAGCTGTTTTCACCCAGGGCACACCTTTCGAGCCGTACGCAGAAATATACACTGGAGCATGGAATAGTATCCGCACCCTGATCCAACGCCTGCGTGCACGCTCTATTGGTGTTCTCATCGATCTACATGCATTGCCAGGAGGTGGAAACGCGCAGGAACACTCCGGTACCAACAGTGGGCGTGCTGAACTCTGGACCAGCCATACCAACCGCGCGCTGGGCGTTCACTGCTGCCAATTCATTGCTGAGGACACAAAAGCTGGAGCTGAAATTGCCGGTCTCCAGCTCGTCAATGAGGCTGAGTGGGAATCAGAACGCATGTATGAGTGGTACGATGAATGCATAGCTGCTGTCTCTGCTATCGATCCCGGCATTCCTATCATCATCTCCGACGGTTGGCACCTAGAGAAAGCAGTCGACTGGACTTTGCAGAAGAACTCCATCTACTCGCACCCGCAGTGCCCAGTAGTGATCGATACGCACTACTACTGGGCTTTCACAGACGAAGATAAAGCAAAGACACCACAGCAAATCACGGAAGAGGCCGGCACCAAGCTTGGACAGCTTGACGGTAAAGAAGGCTCCGTCCATGACCGTGGTGCAGTACAAGTCATTGTTGGCGAGTACTCCTGCGTCATGACCGAAGACTCTTGGGCCAAGGGCGGCGGAGTCCCCAAGGAAGAGCTCGTGCAGCAGTTTGGTCAAGCGCAGAGTAGGCGGTACCAGCAACGAGCTGGCGGCAGTTTCTTCTGGACCTGGAAAATGGATTGGATGCCTGGTGGTGAGTGGGGCTTCAAAGCTAAAACGGAAGACGGGAGCATTGTGCCACCTCAGTACACAACAATGTCCGCTGATGATAGGCGTGGGGTGGTCGAGAAAGCCAGACACGAAAAAGACGGGCGGATGCATGAGGCTGTCCAACAGCACGTGTCTTACTGGAGTGGAGTGGATCCCAACGGTCACTATGAGCACGAAAAGTACGAACATGGTTGGCAAGTCGGGTATCAAGACGCTCTCGCCTTCTTTGGGTGCAGAGAAACAAAAGGCGACAAGATTGGCATGTTCGAATTGTGGGTCCTCAAGCGAATTAGAGAGAGTGGATACAGAGGTGGCTTCACTTGGCTTTTCGAACAAGGCCTGAGGAAAGGTGCGCACGACTGTTACTCTGCGCTCGGAATTTAAGAGTTTGTGCACGGACGATATGGCTCTCGATCACGACCGTTTGCTGTTGCTGCCTCAGTCACGAGGTACGTGCTCGGGGTGATGACGTTACGGTCAACAGGCGGATTCGGGACCTTCGTCGGTGGAACGTCTAGAAAAGCGACAGAGACAAACACTCAGGCAATGTATGTTGGGCGTACAGTATCACTTTCTCAATGAATCTACCACCTCCCCTCTTCCACTCCCCTAACTTAATCTCGCGCAATCTCTCAATTTCTAGAAATCTCCAAACCCATGGATCACACCCATTTTATACCCTCTGGAATACCTGAAGAAGGGCCTGGCGAGGCGCTGCTTTTACTAAATGACACACTCCCCAGGCGGCCTTATCAAGCTTATTGCGTCACCGAAGCCTCTTCACGACCGTCGAGTCCGGACAGCCTTATTCCAAAACCTCTTCGAACATCAACGACACCTGTATTGCAGGTTTTCATCGACACAGAACCTTTTGAGACTGAAGACTGCGATCAAAACAACAATTTCACCCAGACTGCGGCAGGCAGTCCTGCGCAGTATGTCGAATCAGCAACATTACGCAGAACGGGACAGTATAGCAAAAGACAAACATCACTTCCCAATCGAAAGCCGTTGCCAGAGCGTACAAGATCGGGAGATACACCAAATCACATTACACGGGCTGTCACTCCACGCGGAAGCCACTCGTTAGCTCCATCTGAGGTGACGGTGTGCGACCTGCCATCATCACATCCACGGATGCAACAATCGACTCCTTCCAACAACGAATCTGGTCGGACCGGCTCACACAAGCCAATTGAACAATGCGATGATCTTTTGGGTGCGTATCAGCGTCCGCTACCACCACTACCGCTCGGGACGGCTTCAGTGACAGGCGAACAACAAGAAATCGGCGCGCGGAGCGCAGACGTTTGCCGAAGTTCGGACGAGCCGGTTCATCCAGAATACTTTGAAGGAGCAAACGAGCTCAATACCCTCGATATTCAGGCGGGACCGCTGTCCAAGAGGGAGTGCTACCTCGTTCCACGTCGGCCGTTGCCAGATTTACCGATAGACATCAGCCCAGATCATTCGAGTCAAAGAACTGCAGCGCAGAGCGCGTCCTCATCACACGTGGCAGATGGAATCTCATATGATGCCCTCTTTGAGTCGAGCATTAGTGCGCGAGAGCATCGTGTCTCGGGCAGCAATACACAAGAGCCCACTGCTACTGACCCATACGAACCTCGCGGCCACTGGGATGACATTGACGATGACATACGAGCACTGCGGCGAACTCAACCCAAAGATGCAAATCTAAAATACCAGTTTGGACAGCTACCATCTTTCGGTTCAGCTTCACCGCCATTGATCTCGCCACTCCGCGGCAATTACTCGCACTCAGTCGGCAACTTCACTAACGCCGCGCCTTCTTTCCATTCGTCGACCGACATCCAAAATGGTCCCAGACCCCCTCCCTGGGGTTCATATGAAGATCTCGAGATACAACGTCGACAGCGCGGTGACGCTAGAGAGCGCGCAAAAGTTAGAGGTAGCCGTTTGACGGCAGACAGCTCTTCAGTGTACCAGAAGTCAATGTCGACGGACAGCCTGGGTAAAGATCCTTCAAGGGAGGTAGAAGAGTACAGGGAGCAGATACTCGGTGTGTACCCGGATATGGAGTTCAATGGGGATGCTGGGAGAGGTGATCGGAGATGGTGCTGCTGTGTGTTAATGTGATAGGTCCTCGATTCACGATCGCGCTCGGTGGCAATAGCGCCCAGCAGAGGTGTGCGGATTCCGGTCTTGAAGTGGTCGTGGGCAAGAGACTGCAGTTCATGCTGTCGAACCAGCTGGGCCATCCCTGGAATGACAGACGTCAATCACGAACGCACAGAATCACGCCGATCAATTCAACACATCACCAAAGCTGCAAATCCGCCGACTATATATACCTCGAATCTAGTACTTTCTATTTAGACAGCATGCATCATCATCCAACAACAACACCATACTGTACACGATTCCAAAGAAACACAGGTTCAGGTTTCTTCATCAGGTCCAACTCATCGACTTGAAATCAAACAACACTATTCTACCCCGATTTTCCGTGGCCATACACTCCAGTCTTCACGTATCACTAGCGTATCATACCCAATACGAGATTTGTCATCAACAATGCCTTATAGACTGATGAGTCACGAATGGATTAGGCAGAACAGAAACAAAGTTTTGCCAGCCGGTACTCGACGGCAAGTCGAAACAGGACTAATGAACCCGGACTACAAAAAGCTTACGAAGGATGAAAAAAAGAAGAGAGACGAGGAAAGGCTACGAAATGCAGAGAAGCAAAGGGTCGCAGCGGAGAAGTACAAGATGGAGAAGGCTACAGGGAAACCTGCTCATCTGCAGCATGGCCATACTACCAAGAAGTGAGGGTCTGACCATGGGGCATGTTATTTGCTGAGTTGGTTATGGCGAATGAGGACGGTTTTTGTTTTGAACACGTATGGATTCAGTGCTGGTTCGGTTTACTTGCCTGGTGCAAGTGGTTGGCTTTTCACAGGCGTATTTTGCAAGGGTTTAGGTCGGTTGTGCAGGCTTGCGCAACTGTCGCTTGTATATGGGTTGAGGTTATAGTAAAAATGAGATATATCTTTGAATTGAACCGTCTGGATCGTTGTAATGTGAAAAGCAGACTGTTCAATCAGGCACAACATTCAGCTCTCGTCAACCCGAGTCGAGAGAAAGCCCTAAACATCGTTCGTATGCTGGCGAGATGAAGTCATAAATCATGGTGGCTATTCTGAACTACTACCATACGTATTATGCCGCGCGTTTGGCAATCAAGCTCGAAAAAATGGGTGATGTTGTGTGCCGTCAATTGTTCGAAAGCGACAGGTGGTTGCCAAATAGTGAATGTGCTGCTCTTACATTCCAAGCCAAATATTGAAGGCAATCAAGTATCACAGTAGGGCAGCTTCAATGACAACGATATGAATGCTCAATGGGTGTTCCAGATCTGTCACGCAGCAAGGTATATATAGCTAGCAGTTCTCGCACATCGTCACGACTCAGCATAAGAGACAGCCTCGACTACACTAACAACAATCATTATCATTCTACTTTGCAGCCTGGCGCTTGCGACTTACAGCCCATCATATTTGTCCAAATCCTGGTAGCACAAACGCGATCAAGATGCATCTCCCATCACAGAAACTCCAGCTCCGCCCTAAACTTACTGCCGTTCTACAACACTCAAGCAAGAATTCCACTTCCAAGACCCCTGAAGCTTCAACACCGACGAAGCCAGCTAGCAGTATCAACATCAAAGACAAGCGCAACATCAAGATTGGCATTGCCGCACTTCGTACCGTCAGCAAATGGACCGATAAAGCTGCACTGACGCTCGAGAAGCTCGAGGGCCAAGAAGCGTCGAAACACTGCCAAGATCGCCAGGCGCGCTTGATCGCTCAAGATGACAGTAAATCATACGGAAAACTAGCCCAAGATACCGGGGTATGGAGAGAGACTGTGGTATACCCGGTACCTGCCCAGGTTGATAGTGCTAGGGGGATCGAAGCACACGAACAGCCAAGGGTGTACGGAGCACCAGCACCTGCCAGCCAGGGAGAAAGTCACATTACAAACAGCGTCGTGGGGGCACCGCTCGTCCAGACTCATCATGCGCATGTCTTGGCTTCCGTGGAGGAGTACTATGACGAAAGTAGTAATGACGAGGAGGGTAGCAGTACCTCTAAGCAGATCGGTCTCAACAGCTCCACAGACGTTGACGCAGATGAAGATACCGATGAGGAAGATACTTCTGATGATTCCAGCGATGATGAGAAGGAGGACGACAGCGATGACGACTCGGATAGCGAGGAGCACGATAGCTCTGATGATGCTGAGTCTTCGGACGAGGAGGAAGTGGATGTAAACCAGCCGATGATCATGAATGCTAGGAAGTGAGGAGATGGAGTACAGGGGGTAGATGTGGGTTAGGTGTTTTGGTTGTGAAGAAGACGCGTTATTGGACGATGTAGCCTTGGAGGCCACGAGGGACGATATCGACCTAGAGCAGGAGAGTCAAAGGTAAACATAGTGGCAGCTTACATGTACCTATACATCAAGTGTTGAAACATGGTTGTGCTAATTCTGCGAAAATTGCGACTTTCTAATACGCCAGGCCTTCACTAACCTCCAGCACTGAAGTAGGAGAAGCCAAACGGAGGGGTATATACTAGCTCAGATGTTCGAAATAGAGTCGAACGATTATGTTTGGCTATGTGGTCGAAATAATCCGAAGGGCCGAAGTGAACTGCACGTCAGGCAGCATTGGTTCGGCACATATGCCGTAAGGTTTGCACAATGACGTACCTGTGTAACTGCAACAAAAAGCCATCGCGAAAACCTCCAAACAACTTTCGTTTGTGAGATCCTTGATCGTCCCTTGGTATACCAATCATCAAGTATCAGCGAAGTGGTAGTAAAGGCAAAGTACAGTAGTCCGACGACAGGCAGTGAAGGTAGGCTACCTAACGGCTGTCAACGGCGCTTCGCAAACACCCGCAGCACGTCAGTCATCCCCCCTCACCTCACTTGCACGCCTTGAACGAGTTTTACGTTTGTGTTTTCATCCCACGTGCGCTCTAGCCCGAAAGTCGTTGATCGGCTTTGCCCTGCATTGTTCGTCCAGTTCGGTCCCACCCACATCCTCCTAGCAACGCCCGCATCCTCGCAGTCAACATCACGACTGTCAATTGCGAAAATGTCAACACACTTTCGCCCGCGCGCGACTACGCCTGGCCCGCCGAGCCCTACACGTCCATCAACGGCGCGCTCCACGATTCGCGCTATCTCGCCGTCGCCGCCACCGAGTTTGGATGAGGCTTCGCGACAGGATTCTGCGACTACTGGATCACCGAATGTCGATGTTCAGGGTACATCAGCGAGTGCAAAGGTGCGACCAAAGAGCGATGGCTACCCGCAAGCATACGTGCATGGTTCTGGTCATGAAGAGACGGACTTCGCCGACTACACCACAACAACAGGGAACGGTAACTTCGGAAGCTCTCCCGCAAACATCACTGCCAATGTCACCATCAAGAGAGGCGGCGGAATGATGACAAGGCGGTCGCCGGTAAAGCGCGGTTCGAGGTCAACAAGTCCGAAGAAACGCCCGTACAGTACGCCAACAGAGTTGTCTTCGCATCGCGAGTCGACATCGCATGACCAAGACGACTTGTCAGCCACCAACCCGCGAGATGCAGAGATCCAAGCTGGTGACTACATCGACAGCGACGCATACACCGACTGCCCAGACACACCCACCCCGATGACAAACTCCCAAAAACGCTCAGCCTATCTCCCGCTCGGAACTCCGACGCCCTTCCCAAAGTCCACCCGTTCTTCCAGGCCCAAATCCAAAGCAAGCGTTCATCGTGCCACCCCTACTACTACGCCCACAGCACCGACGCCAAAGCTCGAATTCTTTGAGTCCTTCGACGAGCAACCATCCTATGGCTCTGGGCTTTTCAACACGGACCATCCTCAGATGTACGTTGGGCCAGAAGACAAGCTCATGGCGTTCTACACCCAGACTGAGCGTCGGAAGATGCGCGAACGGGCGCTCGCAAGGGCTGCGCAACCGGAGAGGACGGTGCCTGGTACCCAGACGGGCTACGCGACAACGTCAGATCACCCAGCAAACGACGCCTTGGTTATGCAGCAGCCACTGCGAGAGGAGGATATTCGTGCGCGCATGCATCTCGCCCCTCCACAACAGACCACGGAATCACCGCCTCGGAAGTCTATGTCAGATGCGGCTGGCAACGTAGCGCGACACGTCTCGCCATCTGAGGGCTCATGTGTCTCCGGCGGAACGGTCACTAGCAAGCGCTCTGTCTTTAGCACGCCTGGCAGAGACGAGCTTGAGAGGAAGAAGGCGATTGTGGAGACTGACGATGGACCATTTGCTAAAGCAGTGAGCATGGCAGATCTGAATGAGAGACGTAGGGTGGTCAGTGAGGAGGGAGTACAAGGTGTTCGAAGAAGCGAGGATTTGGAAGCAGAGGGCATGCAGAAGAAAAAGAAGGAGGGTAGGACTTGTGGAATCGGGATTGGATGCAATGTGATGTAGAGATTGTCAAAAAGCTCGGAGGTGTTTGTTTAGACTTTGCATCGATGCGATGGAGGATGGTTCTGAACCGTAATATGAACGACAGCAATGAGTAACGATGAGGCTACTAGTTTGATGCTTAGCATAATATTGTAAAGTAACAATGAAACTGAAACTTCTCTGACGCGTGTGACAGAAGTATATCGCGAACAGACAGTGAATGCGACCACTAGCGAGCGCAACCGCAATACACTTTCGTTTGCCTCTTCGACGTCCAACTCTTCACTCGTACAACCCACTCTAAAGATCGCGACACATTAGCCGCAAAACATCACGCAATGGATGCCGCGCTCGATCGAGTACAAGCGCCGTACATGCTCGACAGCCTGACCGCCGACGCGCAGCGAATATCAGCGAGCCTGCCACCGGACGGCTGGGATTCAAGCTCCGCCCTCGTTGGCCTAAAGCGTGACGTCAGTGGGGTATCGGTCGTGGTGAGTAGCACAACCCCTAGACGGGTAACTTTGTCTGTATCAGCTGCTAACCAAAGGCTCCGTGAAGCCGTCAATAGCTGCGGCGGGCGATGCCAACGATGCTGAACATGCGCGCGGTGGGCTTTTCGCATGGCTCCGGCGATTAATCCGCACCGCTTGTCGTCGCTTCCGTAAACGCCACAAGAATGCGAAAGGCTCCTAACCAAAGGGCCGGTGGATGTTGAATACTCCTAGCGATCAAAGAATAAGACATTGGTATGTGTAGAATGCGTTTTCGAAAGTCGAGCTAATAGCGCTTCTTAGATGAAGAATCGGCCGCGATGTCGAGTGCCTGTAGGATATCGGTACCGAAGACGACAGTCATGTATGCGGGGAAGATGACCCAGAGACCACTGCGAAATCAGTTAGCTTTTATGTACATTCTACCACGAGGCGCAAACGTATGCAGGAGTCCGACTTACTTCATGACAAGGTAGAAGACCAAAAGCGTTGCCCAGTCGTTATGGCGAACGTTTGCGAAGCCAGAGAAATACTCATTAAAGTCTACCATCGTTAGCCTGTGTATTGCCCGCATGTCGGATGTATACGTACAGTAGAGTACCGTCTTGCTGACTGTCATGACTGCTGCGGCGAAGCCGATGAGGAGCGCGCGGTTGCCAGTCTTGCCGCGTACCTTCCTGCCGCCAGAGAGGAACTTGCCCACGCCCTCGCTGAGCTGCAGGCCAGTACCTCCAGATGTAGGGACACTGTGGTTGTATATGATCATAGCGTAGAGGCCGTATAGCACAAGCTCCACAGCGTTCAGCATGGCTTGCGCGCCGCCAAACCCATCATGGTTTTCCCATCCGGGCCATCCGTATACGTGATCGATCGAAGCGTAAATCTCATACGGCTTCCAGATGGGCCACTGAAGCGCGCCACCAGCCATGGTATGTGGGCGCAGAAGAACATATAGCGTGTCCCATAGCACAAGCGGGATCGAGATGGCAAGCCAAACTATCGTAAGATTGGATGCCGTGTGGCACCACGTCGGCTCGTCGATTTCGGATGGAGAGGGAGGGCTGATTTCGGCTTTGGCATTGGAGATTGCGCGCCTTGCAAGCGATTTTGGTGGCGGTGAGGTATTGAGGTCTGGTGAGGTGGGCGCTGGGGACGCGGTCGAAGTTCGTGATCTTGGCGTCTTTTTGACGGGTGATGGTTCCGTGGCAGGGAAGTCGCCTTGCGGATGCGAGCGCGTAGACACCATGGCGATGAAGAGTGATCAAGACGGCGTGAAGAATCTGGGGTTCAGCAGCAACTGCGAGGAGCGAAACGGAGGGGAGAATGTAACGTGTCGCAATGATGCAAAGGATGCTAGGGAACTAGTGGAGAACGGCTTCTGCTTTAGCCGGGCGGGGCTGTACCTGAGACGGAAGGAGCTTTGACTTGTCGGTTTGAGACCCAACTGTTTGTTGGGGTGATGAGCTCCACCACCCTCGCTATGTTGTGTTCCTCGATTGGATCGGTGTCTTGGGCGATGCGTTCGAGTGAGATCTTGCAGACTTTGGCCACTTTGCTAAGCGTGCGTGCGCTGCACTCTCCACAAGCTTTTGGTCTGACTTTGTGTGCACATCGACGGTGAGCAAATGCCCTAGACTGTTCAGCACATGTGCGACGAGGATACCCAAAGCCTTCTAGCGATGCAATGAGCGTTGCCCATAATGCTAGGTTAGTTAAAGCCTGTTGTTGGCAAGAAGAGGGATAATGATGAATGGAACCGCGACAATTGAAGTGGATCATCCAGCAAGATGACCGCCGAATGGCACTCACGTTGGAAAGATTCTGACCGATAGGACATACTGTAGTCTGCGCACAAGTGTTACTAGTCTTTGGTGCCGTCAATGATGAGCAACATGCAGCGATATATCAAATCTGAGTATATCGTTACCATCTGTCGTGCTTACGAAAGTCGCGACACGGAGCCGCTAGAGTTGATCATACGACCGATAGAGTTGCATGCACTCTAATCATGCATAGAGCCAGTCTTCAAGTGCTGTTTTCAATTATAGTATGCATCCTGTTAGAAAAGGAGCCGTGGTTTGCGCGTGTATTTCTCGCGCATGGTGAAATAGCCCTGGAGTCCACGGGTCGAGCAAGCCCGCCACGCCGCCCTCCTAGGTACATAGCGTGGAGCATGCCTCAACCGACAAAGTTATCTACGTGGTATGACAACCCGTCTATTGCGCAAATTGCTGGACATCCATCACGTCAGTCTCCTCTCTTACATGCAGCTCAACTAGGCCTCTAAGAGTGACTGCTAGCGGACTTCAATTGCCGCGCATGCATCCATGGATGATTGGCGTCAAACCTTGAAAGGGCGTTCACTGGCAAGAAACCAAACGGGTATTTCGGCATAAGTAACCAGCATCGGAAGCTTTTCCATAGTATCACAGCGAGAACGCTAGGTTTTCGAATGTGCAATGACATCGCGCAGACATGGGATGACTTCTGTGGTAGGACTGCGCGGCACGCGAGGCGCTGTTGCACGTGCGATCATCCCCAACCAACACCTCCGCATCCGACGATGTTGTTAATCCACTTGCGCGCTAGCAAACTACATGCAAAGCTTTGATTATTATTCATACAGATACACGGAATGTTTTACCAGTATTTAGCGAGCGTGGGAATGACTGCCATGGATACATCAACTCCAGCGTTCACGGGTACCTACCTCGGGGCAAAGTAACACCACTCCAAGACTACCTATGTAGGCGCATCCGACGGTATTAGATGAACATGTCCTTAGGTTCACGTCTGCCAATTTTGTGTCTTCGTAATGGCAAGCACGAGATCACCGCTCTGTACGTTTAGTAGGTGGGAAGGTAGCCTGTGTGTAGAGATCATTGCCGTCGGCGACGTGTGCACCTGGTGAAGGCCCCACCCGTATACCCAGCGCGTCCGATAGGTATAACATCAACAAGTCTTAGGCCCACGCCTTTGTTTTCTGGGTCATCGGAATCGCGAGCCCAAATTCTTCATTCTTTATGTTTGGCAAACCTGCATAAAGTTTGTACGTGCGGATCAACTCTATCGGTGACGAGGTGCGCGCACATACGGGCGCCTCGGCACGTGCAGACCCAAGACTTTCCATAGACATGCCCGACAGAATTGATAACCCATCATACGATTGCTATTGTGAAAAGTATTGTGCGTATAAGTCAAGCAACCTAAGACCACTCATTGCGAGCGGCCACATATTTCAAACCCCAGATCCGAATGAGAACAATACTAGCGGGTACCTAGCAAGCCCTGGAGGTATGCAATTGCCTCCGCTACTTCTATGCCCCTGGTCGTGTCATGACATCTATGAACGTGTGGCTCTCAGCTTTGATCACAGCATGAAGCAAACATAGCTCGCCTGATCCTAGTGTACCAGTGGCAATAGCTCACGTGTCAAGAAACTATGCCATAGGACACTATGGAGGCTCAAAGGGATATTGGATCCTTGCAAGTGTGTGCGCATCCGTCTGAATTGACCTCTACAGACATTCGGAGATACAATGATACAGCGAAGGTGTGGTACACGAGATGCAACAGCGGAGAAGATGCTGCAATTTGCACAGAGCTTATCGTGTTGGGGCGGGAGATCAATACGCGCGGGAGGTGGTGGTCTGGTGGGCGTACACCTGGGCACGCGGAAAGCGGGCGCTAGAGTTGTTCGGGTCCGAGACGCGCCCCAAGATTTGTTTGAACGTCGAACATAGATTTGGGTGACACAAGCTTCTTTCCTGCAGCGGAAAACTTCATGCGCTCTCACCAGTTGGCGCAGTATAACTTCGGCGGGCGTTGGAGCAGTGAGCGCCAAGCCGCGAGTTCCGCGGCCCCATCGAGACCCTGACAGCTGGCGCGTGCCTGGCAACCGCGAACTCCTCCACGCGACGCGACACGCCAGGGCCTACGAGGCACAGCAAGCTTCGATATCGCTTCAGTATAGCCAACTACATCAATGAACGAGTTCCGACCGCCATCAGCGGACAAGCACACGCTAGACTGATTTAGAGACGGCTTGGCCTCATTGCGACTCTGACGCGTTCTCACGATGGTGGGGAGCAGAGAGCCTTACTGGACATCCGATGATCTGCGGCGTCCAGAACAAGAGCAGTCGTTGGTACTACGGAGCTGAACCATGGACACGCACGCGCCGTCGCGACTCCTTCACATCGGCAACCTCTTGCCATCTCTAGTTGTCAGTTGTGCGCAATTCCTCACTCATACCACGGACATTTCACGATATGCTCTCCTTTCGGATTATACATGGCGCTTTGCTACGAGCCACATCCTTTCCTCCACGGCACCGCTTTCACAAACTCCAGCGACCCGTCTATACAATAGTTTACCCTTTGTATTCGAAGAGGAGCCATGATGGTTAAAGGACATGAGCACAACAGTAGCGCTGGCCCACCGTGAGTGCGCAATGAATTGCGATGTCTCGCTGGAGAATAGTGAATAGGAAAAGCCACGAGGGGTGCTTGCATGGGTACAAGTGATCCAATCTATATGACATCGGAATTCTTCGCCATCTTCCTGAGATGCGCTGTCTCAAACTAATCATCTCTTGTTCGACCCGACTCTCTCGTTCTTGTCCGCTGTGCGACCGTCCCACGCTCGGATCCCTGCATTATCACGTGCACTGACTCTCGTCCGTTTGCAAATACATAACACACACACCTCGAGCTCTACCTAGCACTATCACCTCCTGCACCAACTTTTCTCGTTTTCTGCATTTGTGCAAAGACGAGTCTCTCGATTTCCCTCACCCACGATCGCGATATCAAGTCAAGCCGCTCAGTCTTCGCCGCATCACTGTCTAAATTGCGATGGCAACCACTGAAACTGCCAGCCACCGCCCAGCTGATGACTCCTCGTAAGTCCATTCATCTTCGAGATAGCGCCATGCACTGACCATGAATCTAGTGAGCCTGCTCTGCCTGCTCCAGGCCAGGGAACGTCCAAGGCTGCACGCGCTCGTCACAACAAAGCTACCAAGAAGGCGATACTCCTCAACGAAGTAAACATTGCTGCTGTCTCAACTGAGTCGCCTGCTTCTACTGAGTCTGTCGATACCGCGAAGAAATCCACACCGACACAAGACGAAGACTTGATCACCGAGTCCCGCAGTATGGTCAATACTGACGCCATTATCCCCGTTTCTTTGCGCAAAGAGCCTGGTACTGTCAAGATCAACCTGCCGCCCGCTCCAGACCTAGAGACCAACGTCAAGCCAACCATATCGTCGTCCTCTTGCGCTTCCGGTGTTGCCGACATCCCGGCCCAGCGAAACACGTCGGTGAAGCAGACAGAACAAATGTCGCCTTCTCCTGTCGTCGAACAAGCTCTTGACAACCTGCTCGAAATGATACGAGCGCAGCGTCAAGCTCTTCTCCGAGGTCCTTGCGTCACTGTTCATGTTGGTAAAACATCCGTTGAGGGCATTTCGAAGCGCGCTGCAATGGCTGCCTCTTCTGTTCTGCACAAACACTTCTCCGCCAACCCTCACTCACTTGAATATCGGTTCTCACGTGGTCAAGTACACCCTGGCGCAGTTCGCCTTCTTCTCATTGGCTGGATGCAGGAAACGTGCGACGAGTTCGAGGCTTACGCTGTCCCAGCTCAGAAGACTTTCGGCGAAGACGTTGCTCTCCTCCGTGCTGCCCGCCTGTTGGGTATGGAGCGCTACTGCAGCCATATCCATGCCGGCTACGTCGAATACCTCAAGACACAGCTTCCGAGTTACGAGGAGATCGTTGCCGTCGAGCAGAACGCCATGTCTAACAAAGACCCACTCTGGACCGCGATGGTCAACCACCTTTGCCACGAACGCCATGACCGCTTTATACCCGACCCCGATGACTTCGCGGCGTTCTTGGATAAGCACACTCGTCTGAAGAAGGCTATGGAGTCTGCCGATACCTTCTTCCGTGGGTTGGCGAAGAGACAGGTCGATGACCGGGAGAAGGCGCGAGAGAAGGCGCGCCGTCAGCGTTGGGAGAAGAACCAGGTTGAGAAGCACGAGCGCATTGCGAAAGAACGACTTGCTGCTGAGTCGCTGAAGAAGAAGATGGATGAGAAGGGTCCCGGCCTGATGACCGTCACTGCGGAGGAGGCGGAGCTGCTTCGAGGACGCGCTCGTACCCGCTAGGACAACGCTTAACACAGCCTCTGGCTTTACCATGGTCTTACAGGTACAGTCTTTCCTCTGGCCGTATAATAGCGCGCAGAAGAGACTAACATAATCTTCCTAGGCGACCAGGACGTCTGAAGCGGTGAAAATAAGCGTGTTTGCGTTTACGGTTCACCCCGCTCCTTCTTCCCGCTCTCATTCAAGGTATCAAATCACCGGGTACATAAGAGCCGAAATAAAGGAACGTTGGACTACATGGCAAATAAAGATGCGTATCACTCGAATGAACTTCTCTTTCCTGTATCTGCTGATGTATTGAACGCGTTCATCGACCTGCCGTGCTATCGTTTCTACCATATCCCACCCATCGTACCTTCTCCGGCCCTCAGAACTCATCCGCCCAGTCACCTAGTTCCTCATTCCAATCATCACTGCCTTCATTGCTCTTCTCGTAACCCTCCCACCAGCTCGCTACGGTCACTGGCGGCTCACACTCCTTGCACCTAGCCTTGATATATATCGCACTGCCTCTGCCGACAAGCCCAGCATGGTCTCCATGTGGTACGACATCGAGCTTGTTGTTGCAGTCATCCTCCGCGCAGGTGATCGTGTGAACGTCCATCGAAGAAGATGAGCTTGAGTGAGATGATACGGCGCCGATCTCACCCGCAGTTCTGATGCCATGTTGGGGGTGGCGACGAACGACCTCCGGGCTATTTGGTGGGTAAGACATGGCGTTGTTGACCTTCGAAGTGCTTGTATCTCTCGAAGAAGCTGGTTGGTTGCGTTATGATAAGCGAAGACAAGATCTTAGGAAGGGAGGTATTTATGACGTTGCCGATTGCTAGGTAATGACGATTGTGATTGTGTGGAGGAGGAGAGCAAGCCCGAAGGGCGCTTTGTGGTGAGTGAAGTAAGCTATGGTACAGTAAAGTGTTATACATCCCTCATGACCCTATTGCAGTGTCATTCACAAAGTGTGAATGTCACTGCTATTCATAGTACGTCATCAGCCCAGCCTCATTCATCTCTCCACCATTCATCTTCCAACAGGTCCTTCGCACTCGGTCTATCCCTCCAGTCCATCTTCATTATCCTACGAACAAATTCGTTATCCTTCCTTGACAGCTCCAACTCTGAGATGACCTTGAACATTCCTTGCTGCGCTGGCATATTGTTCCTCTTCAAAGACGCTAGGGTCTTAGTAATCTCTTCATCAGCTATCTCGACGGTCTTGTTTGGAAACGGCCCGAACCAGTATAATTGTCGCAGAAGAACATGCAAGGGGAGATTTTCCCTATCCTCCTCAGCTTTTGGGCCCTGAGGGACGCATAGGCTGAAGTGAGAGCCGTAGTGCATGTGCACAAACTAATCACGGGAGTCGTCAGCCCAGTAACGTCGGATTTATTCGAGATGAGACCGAAAGGTATCATATGGAGTGTCTTACCAGCAGTCCAAACGCCCAGATATCTGCAGCTGTGTTCCACGGCAGTTGCAGAATGGTTTCAGGGCTTACCCATGTTGGTGCGCCACACGGAGTCCCAGAAGTAGGACCTGCACTGGTGACATGAGAGCAATTCCCCATGTCGCCAAGTTTGACCTCGCTGAATCGATTGTCGCCTTCCTGCATATTGACGTAGACGTTATCCGGTTTGAGATCTTCGAGTCTAATCAGCTGCAATGTTTGGTTCCTAGCGGCAGACAAGGAATACCCGCGTGTATATAACCGTCATCATGAAGGCTTTTTAGGGCCTCTAGGACGCTGCGCGAAACATACTTCAACTCTTTTCGATTCAAGGCCTTTTCCGCGGACGCCTCTGAAATGGTGCTGTCAAGATACTCCAACGCGATTGTGACGGGGAGATCTGGGCCTTGGATCTCTTCGATCATTGGTCTAATGTAGGTGCTGCGATGTTGACGTTTCTTGAGAATGTTTCGCTCGTTCGTAACCCCATGGTGACCCTGCTGGGCCTTGATCACCGCCAGCTTTTGCGCTTGGTTTCTGGCGGCCGTTAGAGGTTTATGTGTTTCTATTGTCACTATAGCACAGACTTAGCGAGCCAGACAGCTTCTTTGAGCTCTTGAGTGAGTGTATACGTCCCGATGCTACCCTTGAGAACTTGGCCGACCCGGAAAAGAGACGACATGGTGTATCTGACGCGAGAACCCTTAGTTAGCGGTACTAGTTTGTATATACGTACAGCTTTATTGTCTCATCTTGGGCGGTATGTTCGCGGATGAAGAAGACATGGCACATAAGGTTTTGTGCGGCGCAGTTCTTGGACTCCCGCCGTCATGTCGATCGCCAAGGCACTAACGACAAGTTGGGTGACTTGCAGGAACAACCGTAACAAAAGCAACATCGACATCATTCGTGTGTATATGTACTCGCGTGTTCAGCGTTATTGACAGCGGTGGAAAGAGTCGAGAAATAGAGAATGACCTGGGCATTTGGCATCAAATGACGCAAACCGTCATTTTTCGCAGCACTCGCTCAGGGTTTCCAAGGTACCTGCCTTCGTTCGCTCGAAATTAGGACCCGCTGAAGTACCTAATGCTGTGGCATAAGTATTGGCAGGTGGTTCGCGGTACATATAGAGCGTCTGTCGCAGTCTACCGTAGAGGGCTGCTATCGCACGTCAAAGCCCAACAGATGACAAGAGGAAATTAAGCGCCAGATGTATTGTGGCTATTTTTGTCATGAGAACGCAACCCATTCACACAATCTTGGCACCCAGTGCCGATGCATCTCTGTTTCCTCTACGCCATTTTCGACAAGACATCCCGGTCGCAGACAAAACACCGCTTGCCCCATAAACGAGACCCAGATCTTAGCCCAGAGCAGCCATTGTATCGCGCACGCTATCAAACCATCTCTTTCTCATCGTGTTTCAAGCGAATGGGCTGTCAGCCACCTTAAAGAACATGTGGCATCGGCTGAGCTTACCAGTGTTGCCACCGACGGCAGGAAACCATTCAAAGGCCCAAGAAAGTGACATGTAGACGGTCACTGTGGCGCACAGCAGTGTGTACTTGGTAACCCCCGAACCAATGACGCTTGCGACGAATACAGTCGTAGTGGGTTCCTTCGAAACAGTGCGCGTAGTGGCCGTCCTCTTGTTCATCCAGATGAGAGGTTATCAGTAGATTGTTGAAATCCATGTATTCGTGCATATATCCTTTGAAGATGACTTGGATGTGGACTGGGAGCGGAACGTCATACAAAGCGCGACGTGCGATCTGATCAAGGAAGCTGCGGAGGATCCGCTTGTTCTTTTTATGCATTATGCCCAAGGCCGTGACGTCGAGCTCGACGCGGATGAGCTCGTTCTGGTGAATTAGCTGGACTGCGCTGTTGTAGTAGGCTCGTATCGCTTCCTTTTGCCTGTTGGATGCGTGTGAGACGTCATTATTTGCAAGCCATTCATCAAGCGGCTGTTGTGTGACGAGATCCGCAGGCAGGATAGCTGGTAGAGTGGACTGTCGACGGTCGAGGTAGTGAGCTCTGGCTGTGACCACGGCGTGCTTGTGATGGGATAGATGATATTTGGACGGCTCGCCGATGTTTTGAGCGAGCACTGCATAGTAGCCGTTGAGGGGGGCCAATACAAGAGCAGCAAGGTTGCGGGTTGTTTTCAACAGGCTTCCAGGTGACAAGACCGCCGCAAGACCAGCAACACGCTGGAGCCCGTCAGTAGTCTGCAGCAAGGATGGTAGAGTACTTTCCACGTACGTTGATCGATTCGTGGTCAATACCAGTAGCGTTGTAAGTCACCAGAGCGTTGCCGTGATGCTGCCTGTAGCTGATATTGTTGTACATGCCGAGCGAAAGCGGAGCGAGGACATACGGTGCCTCTTGTTGAATCGTGTTGTAGGCCTCGTCCACGTACATGCTGTGATGGGGGGCTGCCATAGTGATCTAGTAGCCAGAGGGAGCTTCACGTTGGGTTGAGATAAAGTTATCGAAGAAAAGTTCGAAAGGATGGACTCGAGAGGATGAAAGAGGAAAGAACCAGCTTTAGTGACCGATATATCGCAACAATCTAGGATACGGCTAGCGCGGCGCTAGCGCAAACGCTCTCGACAAAGCTAGTAGCATTGGATTGAAGTGATGAGACACATGCTTCGCAGGGTACGTGATGCCATCGATGTCACTCCGGAAAATACACACCTGGGCATGAAGCAGGAAGTGGATGAGACTAAAGAAGAAGTTAGGGTACCTATAATACTGGAAAATACTGTGCATCCCTCGCACCGAAAACGCGCAGCCATCATATTATACAATTAGCGGGTATGTCCGTAGATTAGTTGCCCAAGCAGCAGAATCTGGTTGCATAACACGGACACTGTACATCGGGCGGCAGCTTTCAAGCTACAAGAGAAGTTCGGCTAGTTTGTCTCTAGAATATTATACCTTTGTGATACGATCAAGAGCCTTGCGACAACGCATGTCTTTTGTTCTTCACTTGCTGTTTGTGCAATTGACTGGTATGTGTGTTTGTATTGTGTTACGAACAGGCCAACTACCTTGACAACAACTTTTATACGCGGCCTCTTGTTGTGAAGGTAACAGCTGTTGCGTGAGAATAATGCTAGTAAAGAAATCTCCTTTCGTCCCGAATCCGTTCTACATATACTGGTATTAAGCCGCTCGTTGACAGGTACATGAACTATTCGTAATCGACATTTGTTAACTGAGTTCAGCCTTCAACATGGAACCTAGATGAGGCACGTATATGTTTTCTGTTGCATCCTGACAAAATCTCAAACGGCCACAATCGATCACAAACCCCAAACCAGTCCTATAGCCAGAAGCTCTCGCCATCCCACGTTGCGCCTTCCGGTCGGTCGTCATCGGAACGCGGATAAAAGACTAATATGGCATCGCTGTACGGGTCTGTGTCACGCCACTCCAGCTTCACGCAGGGGCGTCGTGCGCTGGAGCAAGAGTTGCAGGCGTGTACTTCCTTCTCTTCAGAAGTTGCCTTCGTCTTTCCGCTTTTCCCGTGGCTTATCAAATGATGGGCTACGCACCTCTCGCTTTCAACATAGGTTCTGTGGTTGCTCGGATCTGTTATCGTGCAGGCCTTGTTGAAATAAGCGGTGTTGTAGTTGAACACCGTGTCAAGTGCGGTGTTCAGGGACATCACGAGCTCCCGTGGTCCATCCCGAAGTGGTTTCAGCTCTCCTTGGGTATCGTGCGCGTGCTTAGCAACATATAGAAATTTGTCTAGTTGTGTTATCTTCTTCTCTTTCGGAACTGGACCTCGCTTCCTCTTCTTTCCCGCCTTCTTGACAGGAACTTCTCTGTCGCGCGTCTTCTTGGTGTTACTAGACGCCTGGGGTCGCCGCTCATGTCGTTTGATTGCAGCTATTGGTTGTTTCCGTGGCGGTGCTGGTGTAACAGAAGCTGCTTCGCTTTGACTATGCGACTCTTGGATGGCACTCTCACGCTCCTCGGGTACTGGCGGCGTGTCTTCCCTTGGTAGGATCCCGTCATCGGAGAATGGGTTCTCGTGTGGCTCAAAGCCTCCGCCTTCATTGTCGCTTGGATCTGACGCAATGAAATTCTTTGGGAACGGACTTCCGTCGCGGACAGACCACTCGTTAAGTCCATACTGCGCTGATGATCGACAACCTTCCACTTGCAGCGTTGGGGGTTTCACTTGTTCTGTTGGGGTACCCGTTTGCGGCGCTGAAGGCTTTGCTCGGAGCGTTGGAAGATCTGCTTGCTGTGTTGGAGGATCTGCTTGCTGTGTTGGATGATCTGCTTGCGGCGTTGGAGGTCTGGCTTGCTGCGTTGGAAGATCTCCTTGCGGCGCTGGAGGATCTGCTTGCGGCGTCGAGAGGTTTGCTGACAGTCTTGGAAGTTTTGTTGTCAGCATTGCAGCCTTTGTTGGCGACAACAAAGCTGATCCTGACGGAATTACAGCCTTGCCTGGTGGGGATGGCGTCCTCAAAAACGCGGTCGGGATTGCTTTTGGTGTTGGCTTCTTGCTTGATGGTGTTCTCGATACCTCTGGCGCGGTAGAACTCTGCCTTGGCGCAACGACAGTACGTTCTGGGACGGCCGTAGACTCTCTCAGGGCTTCGATGGCACCTATTGGCGCCATTGATGGTGCTACTGGTGCGGGGGTCGTACTGAGGAATACAAGCGGAGCCTTCTTCAGTGCGCCTGCATCGGATCTCGGTAACAATCGTGGTACTATCGGTCTTCTTGAAGGGGTAGACCACTCATATGGTAGGGTTGAGGAAATTTCAGCGACGGGTGCCCAAGGATTGGGACGATGCGGGGTCGCAGGCCTACGGAAACCTGGGGTGGACTCGGGTTGGGGCGGAGAGGCAAAGCCGAAAGGAGTGACGAGTTCACCAACGGTGTCCAAAGACTGGAAGCTGAAAATGTGGGAAGCGCGCAGGAAAGGGTCTGCTGTCGCTGTTGGCTCGACCTCGCTCCGGTCGTTGGGTGAACACTCCATTCCAAGGCTGCCTTGAGATGCTCCTTGGTCAACAAGCTTGCGTCGTTTCCTCGCCCCAGTGTGCCCAACAACGATAGTCTCTTGGCCCGGACCCGACGTCTGGGTGTCAAGCTGGTGTGTATTTCTGCCCGTTGGCTTGCTGTCAGATTGGGTACTGGCATTGACTAATAGACGTGGCATCTCTTTGGTGAGCTTGCTGGCCGTCAGGTCTGTCTCCCACTGGTTGATCAGGGCCTGGGTGCCGGTAAGCTTCGTCCCGAAGACACCCATCTCTTGCATGTTGAACGAGTAATCCGGTGTCACTAGTCCCATCACCAGTTCTTGCAACCCAAGGAGCTCTCTGCTTCTCTGACTATCTTTTGGTATACTCGCAAGGTCGGGTCGTTGGATGATCCTCGCTGCGGATGCCGCTGGGACCAACAGGGCATTTGCAGCATCTTCGAGTTGACGATCGCCTGTGTTGATGCTCTCGAATTTTGCTAGGACGCTCTCGTACGCCGATACGATTTCTGGACTTTCTATTCGCGAAGTTGTCTTGTCTTTTGTACGTCGAGGTTTCGACATCGTGGGGAAATGTTCGTTTAGGAAAGATGGAAGCAGCGTCTGTGAGATGGAAAGCACCCCCGCGCTTCTCCGGATCGTGGGAACATCCGGCCCTAGGACCGAAACGAGCCTCATCGTCTGATTGAGTAAGCTCAAATGATTGCAGCTTCCCCGGACTATGCGCTGGCCATAGACGCGAATTGTAGCCCCGCTTTTCGTCGATATCAGTGAAGTGCGCTACATTACGACTGGACGTACCTTCTGTAATGAGCAGTATTAGGCAATAATTCAGCAATGCATCGCGCGATACCTTTCATACCACATGATCTTGACTGAGACGAAAACGACTTCCGACAGCCTGGGGTGGGTTACGCTTCCGGTATGATCTTTATAAATGAATCAGCAAAACGTACGAGAAAAGAGCAGTGCCGCCATGACCGTACAGTACGCTGTCTAATGCCCCTGCTCAATTAATGATTATGTATACGGCGCCAGTTTGATCAAGTGACCGTTGTCTGAAAGCTAGCCACTTTGGTCCAAACGCGATCAACATCTACCGCCGCATCGCACCCTCGCCAGTCTGACTATGCTACCTCCTTGCCATGTCAATGCCGATCCTGTACGTCATATGATGGCTTGTGGCGTATGGGGAGCGTCATGAGGGGATGTCCGGCATTCACAGCTCTGGGGTCACCAGTAGTATTCCACGTCACATGCTCACTGGTTGTCGAGCCCATCACTGAACATGCCTATCGGATGAATCTCCTGTTCCGACCGTCATTTGAGCTGTCAATACAATTCAATTCGTACGGATATGAATGTCGGTCGGCTTGGGTCAACAAGGCTCATCGTTGTGCCGTCGTAGTCTTCTTGTACAACCACCAGTCTTGGGCTGCAGATCCCTTCTCTTGAACCCTCGCATTCATCGCGCTCAACCCTGTAGCATTGGCCAAGACATCCACTATTGGTCGGTACCCCTTCTTCAGCAGCCGAGTGGGACTCGATGCGCTGTGGCCAAAGTGTAAAATGGTGTAGCTCTGGCGAGACGGCTTGGGTCGCTTCGCTTCGCTGCCGACCGCTGGGCTTCCTTCTCTTGGTCACCGAATCGTAGGGCGTTGGAAGGCGTCTTCGTCTCGAGTCGTGCGAATGTTCCCTGTGTATGATGTCAGATTTGACGAGCCAACACCGTTTTGAGACTCACGTTGAATTCCCTCGGCGCTTCGTGCAACAGCAAGCTGTCAGGAGATAAATACGGCGATGATGGGCCCCGACCTGGGCGGACGAGGCTAGCCGCTAGTGATGAACGGCATCATGAGTATAGTGACAGGCGGGAGACATGGCCTGTAGAATGAGTGACAAAGTATGATGCTCCTGTGGAGACGAAAGGCGAGACGCGCGCCCTCCGCATAAGGCAGTCACGCAAACGCGCAGCTTCGCATGTCGCGTAATGATTGAGCACGTGCACTAGCGAAGAGGCGATTACATTGCAGTACTGGGAACGGCGAGAATTTGCACAGTGTAGCTGATAGCGATGACGATTGCTGTGACAGTCACGGCCTGTCGATAAATAAGATGATTGAGTGGGTGGGTCCGAGGATGGAAGTCGCCAGCGATGCCACGTGCCAGCCGAGGTAGTGCGACGTTTGTGACTAGCGCGCTTGGCCATTGGCGCTGCTTTGGCGTAATGCAACAAAGCGCCACAGTTTGCCGCGGCACGACCTCATACACGGCTATCACACAAGACGACAGCAGCACGTATTTGCGAAACGCTCCAATTTCTCGACGCCACACGCTGACCCCCAGTACTCACCGGAACTCCAAGAACCCGACGAACGCCCCTAGCTGTGAGCAACAAGACAAGCCCAGAATCCCGAAGACACATCTTGGAACGGCAAAGCGAACCGAATGTCGCAAACAATTATACCAGATACTGTTTGAAAGGGACAAGCGCAATTGGGCATCAGGGAAGAGAGCGCCGTCCAAGTGGCTCTCAACCCGTCCGAATTGCAGAAGCGTCAACGGCTACCTTTCGATTCGAGCAAGACAGAATATGCATTCGAGAAGGGCACATGATTAGCGTCGCAGGCGTTACCTCCGATGATGATGCCGAAGACGAGACGTCTGGTTGAGAGGCCAGTATTGTCGCCAGCGTGATAAACACAGAATTAACGCAGCTGGCAGAACACCACCACCCAAGGCATGCCCCCACTGGTTCCAGAGACGAGCCGAAAACTTCACATATACCCAGAACTGGCAATTTGAAAAGAACATCCTCACAGGCAACTCCAGACTTCCCAGACAAGGTCGAACACCATTCGGGTGACTGCAAGTCTTCAAGGATTCGTACCCAATGAGAAGACTACCCATTCATGCTGGACCGTGGACAATGTCACGTCCTTGCGAGACCTTGCTGACAATAGCACGCCTATCCGCGGGCACGAAATAACACAGCGTACCGGCATTAGTTAAAGGACTGTTCTGGCTCACGACATGCATGATGAGTCAGCTCCCGTACCAAGGTCCCAGCGTCTTCAGCTTCTCATTGATCGGGTGGCTCATAAGGCTTAGATTGACGATACTTGTGGAACTGTAGGCCAACATGCGGGGCATGTGCGGCTAGAATGGAAAGTTGATCCAAGTATATATTGTTCGTCATCGATTGGCCGTGGATCATGTGATAGAAAGGATGCGCGACTCCTTTTATGATGTCTTGCAGTATGCGGGCGTAAGCAGTCGCATGGTTTCCCAGGTGGTCTCGAACACCCTGTCGCGTGTTATATGAAGTGCGGGCGGCACCGGAACAAACGAGCCCTCCAACTAGGTAGCTATATGACCATACGTGGCTTTCGCCATTGAACGCGCGCAGATTTGACACATGCCGCAAAAATACGAGGCGTGCCACTGGTGTACAACCATGAGGGATAACGTGGCGGTATTGCCGTAGCCGCTCTTTCCTCCTTCCTCCTTCCTCTTTCCATTTTCCTCCTTCCTCCTTCCTTCCCGCTCAGATCCGCGCCGGCCAGATCAATCGACCTTACCGACACGTAGCAAAGACTTCCTCTATCCGACAATGTGCAACTCAACACAATGCGCAACCCAGCGATACGTCACATAAGCACCCGCAGCCAAGGCATGCAAGCAAGACAAGGCCTATCGCCAAGCAGTATGTGGGGTTCTAGGGCTTCGTCTCAATCACGAGACGATGAGCAGCACCTTGGGAGGGTGACGAGTTCAGAAGTCCGTGGCCTCATCGATGACGACAACGCCCAAATGATCCAGCGCAAGACGATCCGGCTTCCTGTTGCGGCCCAGCTCATTCTCGAAGTCGCCATAACAGCCACCCCACATGACTACTCTGAGCTTCTCAGCTATGGATATACGGCAGTCATCGATGCGGCGTATGACGATTCCAACAGATCCAATCACCCCTTCTTCAACGCCCCCAACAGATCCTTGGAGTCATTGGCTACATGGAGATCCATCGGGGCATTGATCCTGGCAGATATGCCATTCGAGATGTTGCAGTCCATCCTTGACGGCAGCCTGCCCCGAAGATTGCTAGGGAATGACGACGCTGACGCCGGGTTGCGATACCACTATGACGACAGTAGCCTCGAGGCCTACTACGTAGCCATGGCCACGAAGGCTGAACTGCCTGATGTGTCATCCTGGGTCTTACGCTCCAAGAGCACGCCTTGTCCATGTTTTTACGTTCGGTACATCACCAATGCGTCGGGCGAGTCTCTCACGCCTAGACAACTGAAGCAGGTGATACGCTGCATGAGAGACTATGTGTCAGGCGACCCAAAACACATTGACCTCTGCGTGTTGGTAGACAATGTATCTAGGGGTACTCGCTCCAGTAGGAACGACATAGCCGTAGGCGCTCACCACTTTCTACAAGGCAGTGCTGTTCGCATTGGCAGAGTCATAGCATTTTGCAACGCCCTCGACAATCTGCTCGAACAGAACAAGTCCGACCACCCGCAAGCGCAAGACTTGCCGTTCAAGCACTTGTTCAAGTACGTTGGCTACACCGAGAACGAAGCGGATCGGACCAAGAGACACAACACAGGCGATACGAACTTCCTTCAGGCTTTCTTCACGAACATTTGTCGCATACAGTTCAAGGGCGAGGACGGTGTACCGTTGTATAATTGGCGCACGTACATTGTCGCCTTTCCTATCAGTGTCGAGGAAAGCAAACTTGGGGAAGAGCTCTTCTGCCAGATGACACAGAGCTATTACCACACGGGTATAGGATTCAACATAGCTCCAGCAGGTATCAGCGTCGAATCGGCCGTGCAGATGCCGCAAGCCGAATGGCAACAGAAAAGCAAGGTTCGCAACAGCCACTTCCGGTATCAAAAGCAGCTCAATGAGGAAGTCCACGTCAACTTGAAACGCTACATGGATAACACGAATAACAAGTCCAAGAGCAAGGTGGATCACGCCGAGCAGCAACGAACGACCCTTATCCATCAACGCGGACAGCTCCGTGAGGAGAATATCGCTCTAGAAGCCGAAGCAATACCGATAAGGGAGATGGATGCCTCAATGCATTCTTTACGCGAGGAGCAGAAGAAGCTGGAAGAAGCCTGCCCCGAGGACATGCCAGAGTTGAAGAAGCTACTGGTTCGGACCCACAACGAGATAAAAGGGTTTATCAGGGAATACGCGGCGGGTCTCTACACTGACACTGTACGCGAGACCCAACTGTCCCCATTGAGTGGATCATCCGAGTCTGGATGAAACAAGCGCTGTTAAGATCGGTCTCTTCTTCGCGGCTGCGATGTTCGATCGAGGGCTCGCTCTAAGAGGATTGGGTTGGCGTTTACGATGGTCGAGAGAGATCATCATCATGCAGGTCTTCGCCGGGAGGTTGCGGAATGGAAGGGGTGTCATGGGTCGGCTGCATGTAATATGTCTCACTGATCGCAGAAGAACTTTCATCACTCCGTGCTTGGTTCTCTTCGGTCGTTCACTACATAGTACATACGTAGCACAGCAAGGTGTCCAGCGCTTTGACTGTATGGAAAGCACAAACTTATCGAACGTCTCACGTTGAACTCTCTTGATAAGTCATGCTAGTATTGATCTAATGTTGTAGCTATAACTGCATTCTCTTGATCTCAGGTCTTTCTCACGCGCGTCCTAGACTGCGACCCGTAAGAAGCTGATGAAACATCATGCAAACTGTTGGTACACTATCTCAGAGCTCCTGTCTTGACCTTGTCGTCCACAAACTGTTTGATCATGTTGTAGGCGCCGCTGACAGTCGTGAGCTCGTTGTGTAGCAGCTCGATGTCTCTGAGCATCGATTTAGTGGTGGCTTGATACCTTCCAACCGCCCGTCTAGTTTGCTCAATGGAGTCGCCAAGTTTCTTCTCTAAATCCCTGACGCGGTTGCCCAAATCCGAGATGGTGCTCGCACATCCACATTGAACAGGCGCTTCCATTAGGTCGGAGAGTGTCTTGTTCTGAGCTAACAGTCGTGCCACGACACGACCGAGAGACGCTACCTTTTCGTGGCACGCATCCTGCAGCTTCTCTTCCAATTCCATGAACTGAAGACATAGTTTGACCCGTAAATCCATGGCTACTTCCAAGTCGTCGTAATCCTTCTGAAACTCAGCTTTGCTGTTGTAAGGTGCAGCGATACCGATATGATTGTATATCAGGCCTAGCAACCTGCAGCGCTGATGTTTCAGTCTGAAGTTGTAGGCGAGAACTTCCGTGTGACGTGTCCGAATCTCCGATATCTTTTGTTGAACATCGACCAACAGCTGATGTTCGTCAACAGTGAGAAGCTCATCAGGCTCTTGCAGCTTCTTCTCATGTGCAACATCCTGGAGCCTTTTACCCAGCGCTGCCCGCTTCTTCTCAACTCCAGCCTTGAACTGCTCAAGGGCCTGCTGCTGCTTGCTAGCCTCCCTTTTTGATGTCTCAAGGGAAGCGTTGAATCCTGTGGTATCCGCTTTGGATGCCTCCTTGACCTTGGCAAGTTGTTCTGTCACCTGGGTAAGTTCCGACGAGGTCTTGCTGTTAGCGGCCAAGGTCGCATCTTCAGTTGTTTTGACTCTGGCCTCCATTTCTGTGATAGACTGACGAGTTTTTGCAAGCTTGGCTTCGCCGGTTGCGACCATCTCTCGTGATAGGCGAAGAGTCTCTGTAAGTCTGCGAACCTCCTCTTGCGCGTCGTCGCGAGCTCGACCGGTCTCAGCAGTATCACCTTCAGCGCTGGCCAAGGCAGTCTTGATCTCCTCGTAAAGCTTCTCAGCGACCTCAAGATCCATTTCGAGCCTATGTTGGGTCTTCTGGAACTCGCTAGCAGCACAGTCAAGTTTCTCAATCGCTTCCCGCTGCCGCCGAAGTTGCGCGCCTGTTGTATCCATTATGGCCTGCTTTTGGCCCCATATCGTGTACAACGCGGCGAATGAGATCTTCATCCATCGTAAAGCATGTTTGCGGCCTTCTTCCGCTGAGGCATATCGCCGGTACAACTGGCGTAGGTTCGATTGAGTTTGGTTCTCCTTGGTTTCCTGTTGCTCTTTCTTTTCGGCTTGCCACTGCTTGCGCTCGGTGATCAAAGCGACATGCGCATCGACTCTTAACTGTTCAAGTTCAGTGTCTCTTGATTGTAAGAGCCCGGATAGTTCTTGTTCTTTATTCATCTGATATAGAACGTCGTTCGTCAGCTTTCTGATGGTATCGTCTCGAACTCCAAGTGTGTGATCATTGGATGCTTTCGCATCTCGCAACTTGTCTTGCAACGCGGTCTTAGCCTCTTCTCCGCGGGTCTCAAGTTCTCTTATCTCTATCTGGAATTTTTCGTTCTTCTTGTCCGTATCAACTCTGTTCGCTTCTTTGGCGTCCTCGAACTGTTCCTTCCAATGGTCTCTATCCTGTCGGCAGAGAGTCAAGGAGTTCTCCAAGGGCTGCTTAGCTCCCCTGACGGAAGATTCGAGGTGTTGTTGTGTTGGACGCTCTTCAAGACGAGATATGGATAGTTGCGCTTCAGTAAGCTGATGTCCCATAGCTTGTCGGACGGAAGCAATCTCGCTCTCCAGCTTCTCTTGAGTTGGCCGCTTCTCTAGACCTGAGATCTCATCGACCTTTTTCTGTAACTCTTCTTGGAGTCCTGCCTTGGAGTTTGCGACAGCATTCTCCAAATCCGTAGCGCTTGGGCGTTGTCTCAGCGAGACAACTTCCTCTTCCAGCGGCCTAGTCGCGTTGGCCATGGCATTATCCACGTCTTCTTGAGTGGGACGCTTCTTGAGCTCAGTAATCTGGTTATTGAGATGTTCGGATGCTTGTGCTACAGCGTCTTGTAGGTTCTGCTCTGTAGGACGTTGTCGGAGGTTCGTCAGCTGCGTGTTCAGCGGACCAGTGGCTGTTGCAACAGCCGCGTTAAGCATCGCTTGGGTGGGACGTTGTCGGAGGCGCGTCAGCTCCGTGTTTATAGGACCAGTGGCTGTTGCAACAGCTGCGGCAAGCATCGCTTGGGTAGGACGTTGTCGGAGGTGCGTCAGCTGCGTGTTCAGCGGACCAGTGGCTGTTGCAACAGCCGCGTTAAGCATCGCTTGGGTGGGACGTTGTCGGAGGTGCGTCAGCTGCGTGTTCAGCGGACCAGTGGCCGTTGCAACAGCTGCGGCAAGCATCGTTTGAGTAGGGCGCTGCTCGAGGGTGGCGATCTTGGTGTTCAACGGGTCAGTCGCGTCTGTGACGGCGTCTTGTAGGGCCTTCTGAGTGGGACGCTGCTCGAGGGTGGCGATCTTGGTGTTCAACGGGTTAATCGCGATTGTGACGGCGTCTTGTAGGGCCTGTTGAGTGGGCCGCTGCTTGAGGGTAGCGATATTGATTGCAAGGGGACTGGTCTTTTTCTCGACCGCATCCTCCAGCATCTGTTGTGTTGGCCTCTTCTCTAGCTCAAAGATCTGCTCCTTCAGCGGGCGAACAGCGTTCGTGATAGCATCGTCCAAGTGCTGCTGTGTCGGACGCTGTTCAAGTTCGTTAAGCAGCAACCTGGTAGCACTCTTGACGGCTTCCTCTAGTCGCTGTTGTGTTGGTCTCTTTTCCAGTTCAGAGATACGAGTCTCCAGTACGTTGTTGGCTCCAATGGCATCGTCATACTGCTTTCTTGAGGGCCTCAATTGGTATCCTGCTGTGATTCTCCGGTGGAAGTCCAGATCTTCTTGCATGAAAGCTTTTGCCTGGATGGCAGCGTCGAGATCCTCCTCTGTAGGGCGCATCCGAAGAGCTAAAGTCTCGGCTTCAAGCTCTTTTAGACGGAGGTTCTTCTGATCGAGCTCTTCTAGACGGCGGCTCTTCTGACCGAGCTCGTGGTTGAGGCTCTTGGTCCATTCTAACTGTCTGACCGTCAAATCACGGAATTCAGTCCTGCGGTTGTTGAGCTTCCGCATCTCCTCATTCTGTGTCTTGTACTCCGCGATATCCGTCGCAATCTGCTCATTTGTATCATGTTCTGGTGTCGACTGAGCCTGTGCGGATTCGTTCTCGTCGAGATCGTGTAGATTCTTCGCGTACGGGTTCGGTAGGGCAACGGTGTTGGTTTGTGTGAGAAGCGAGAGGACTAGGACGTTGAGCTCGTGGTGTGAAGCCATGTTTCGGTGGGGCGCGAGGCTGTGGAACTCAGCCTCTGGACAGGATGGGCGAGGTTTACGTGGGATGCATTCTTTTTTTCCCAGGCGCGGCAGGAGCAGACCTGGCCACTCACCACAGGAAGCAACGTCGCCACGTCATCCCAGTCAGACTGGATGTCCATGGGTGAGCCCGCACCTCTTCTGTTGCGCAAAACGAGATGTGCTCTGCAAATGAAATCAGCATTATTTGCATTTTCTCAGAATCGTTTACAAATCACGGTAAGATACATGGAAGTACTGGCCTACTCGAGGGAGCCAGGCTATGGATATGGCCTAGCGCGTCACGTTATCACGTGCCTACGTGCGCAGACGTCGCCAAGACTAAGGTTGTACGCTAACCATACATATACCCTTCTCCATCTTCCCTCCTCTCCAACTTCTCTACTCTCCACTTCTTCTACCCCAATTCTCCAAGCTCAAACGCAACATCGACCATGGCCAACTCAACAGATGCATCAAAATCATCTGACCCCGACGCAGTTCCTCTATACTTCTACGGAGCAGACAACGAGAACGGTTATCTGTCGCAGATGCACAAGAGCAGCTTCGAGGAAGACGGGGTGGTGTACACTTCATGCGAGCACTACTTTCAAGCCGCCAAGGCAAAGAAGTTCTGTGATGATGTATAGTCAGCAACATGTTATGATCGATATCAGCTGCTAACGAGCGTTCAGGAGTCACTGCGCGCCATTCTCCACACCAAGAACCCAAAGACGGCCAAGAGACTGGGCAGGAAAGTGAAAAACTTCGATGCGGAGACATGGAACGAGAGTAGGTGCTCCCGATGTCTTGTGTTGAACCCAAACTAACATGGCGCGCAGTGTCGCGCGAGGTTGTGTTCGAAGCCAACATCCTCAAGTTCACCCGCTCCAACGAAGCTCGTACTCTCCGCCTGCGTCTGGTAGCAACAAAGGGTCGCCCGTTGTGTGAAGCCTCGCCTAAGGACAAGATATGGGGAATCGGGTGTACGCAGGCCAAGGCAGAGAAGAACGGCGAGTTCCCAGGCAAGAACTATTTGGGTAAGGCTTTGGAAAAGGTTCGCGCCACACTTCTCGAAGGGGCCGCTGGCGACAAGACAGGTGATGGCATGGAGCAGGACGAGGGGCGTGACGATGCAGAGGCTCTTGACACTGTCTAGTGTCTTGCTCGAATGCGTCGTGGTAAAAGCCGTCCGGAATAGAGGCATTGTCTTGTCTTCTTTGCGAGTATAGCCTGCTCTCCATGGATGTACTCACAAACATCTTTCTCATGAGCTCAATGGATCTCCACTTGATGAGCCTTGCAAATGTCACCTGAACTGCCCTGTGTAATGCGCCTCAGTAGTTTGAACCCAATAAGCATAACACTCTCAACCTGTCTGAACGCTTTGTGACCGACAATCCACTGCTACCCGTTCTTCTCTAGACTCCTAGCGTAGGACAATCTGTCCGCCCAACAGGTTACCCGCCTTGAACAGTTCTTTTGCTTCGTGTTATCTTGGCGCATTGGTAGTCAGCACCATCATGCATGGAGGATGAGCTTCCAGGATCAAACTTGGGGTTGTACACGTAGCTTCTGTTGCTTCCAACGCCGTCCGCACATGTCCACGTGTGAAGTATACGTTGTGTTGCAACAGCCACTCGATAAAATCAGGAACCTTGACGGCCTCCACTTTTGTTGGCTTGTTAGTACGAGTACAAGCCAGCATTGATACCAATATGGAAATCTTAGCTTTACCAGAACTATACATGCATAAAGGCTCTATCTGTGCCACCTAATTCCATCACATCTATGCATTTGACGGCGCTCGACTCGTCTCGAACGTGCTCAGCCTGCGCGATCTATAGCACTGTTGTAACGCCGCAAATTCATCACCTCGATAAGACACGTGGTTTTGCCACCTCATGGCATTGGCGGCAAAATCTACGCGGTTTTCGTCGTCATTATGTTAAAGCCGCAAATTATCACCTGAACAAGACACGTGGTTTCCAAGATTTGCCACTTCACAGCGAACTTGATACCGCCTTTTTACGAGCTTGGCGTGTACCTAGGTACGCTAGCGATACGCTACTACTAGCGCTCATTGAGGATATCTACCAGCCTGGCCGACCTACTTCCTGTCCATCTACTTCTTTACTTCCACCCTCCACACCGGAAAGATCGAACTCTAGCGGCACAACTAGTTATCCTCGCGACCCAAGCCACTCAAGTACCGACAACACAACACAGCATTCCGCCTTCAATACCGAACACCGCACTACAATGGCCGATACCCAAGAACGATCCCGAATCCACACCCTCATCAGGGAATTTGGAACCGGCATACCAGGCGAGGTTGCTGACCAAGTCATCGACACCCTCATCCCTCAAACATCAACCGACATCGCTTTCCTGGGCGACCATGCTGTGGCCTTCAAGAACCAAGCTGTCATCCAGTTCGTCGACCTGCCCTTTGAATTCATCGACACCACTTTACAAGCACGTTTTGCGGCTCGCTTGCGACACCGACTTCGCAACCGACCTCTTGTGATTAGAACCAGCCTGGACTACAACATCGCGCGATACAACTACACCCACATCCAGGTGGACGCCAACCTTGAAGACCTGGCTAAGCTGTCGCCCCACCTGCCTGTGCGACCGATCGAACCTGTTTTCCAGCTCACCCGAACCTGGATTGGAACCTTGGTTGGTTTCCTTGTTGAGATCAACAAAGTTCTCAACCCAACCGCCGATCAGCCCTTCCGTCACTCAGGTATGAACAAGCTCAAGAACGATTTCATTCAATGGCTCCAAGCCGTCATGGTCGTACATGCTCGAGGTCTTCATGTCCCGCCTGTTTGGTATGAACACTACGCCACGAGGATGGACGACATGATTCGCCAGGTATCTACCCGGTTCGCGGTCAACCAAGGCCTTCTGCTCCAGTTAGAGTTACCACATATGGATGACGTTCCTTGCAACGTGCTAGCCGACCTCACCAAGGACATCCAGATCATCAACCACTACACAACACTTGATATGACAGTTGCGATTCGCGTACCCAAGAGCTCCTACTATTCCTATCGAAATTGGTTGGATGCAGCGGAAATGATTCCTCGTGTCAACTGGGATTTGAAGGCTGCCGATGGTTCGGTACCGGTTGGCGGTGAGAGTGAGTACGATTATTACTTCGAAACCGGAAAATATTCCTGGGAGAGGATCACCTGGGAGAGGGACAACAACATGGAGGCAGAATCAGATGATGAAGAGGATGGCATGGAGGAGGATGAGAGTGAAGAGGAGGAGGAAGAGGGTGAAGAGGAGGACGGTGAAGAGGATGAGGATGAGGAGGACGAGGGGGATGAAGAGGATGAGGAGTAGAACGATGGTGCGTTGGGGGACGGTGAATGGTCAACAGATGGTGATGGTGTGATTGAATTTGGCTTTTGTTTTGGTGCGGCAGCTGGATAGTGATGGCTGGTTTTGCTATCCTCAAAAGTAGTGCTTGGGCAACGGCTCAGCACATGAGATTCACGAAGGTTTGGTTGCAGACAAGGCTTGAAGATATGGATCTTAAACACATGGTATTAAGATCGAACGGTAGATATTGAATTCACCCATCAGCCCAAGTTTGATCAACAGTCAGTGAATTTGACCAGAACTACCAAGTCTATTCTTTGACCTCTTCAGTTGGTACATTTCTGTCTCATGAAAAGTCACAGTCTGCCAGCGCGTTGGACGATTTCCGTTCGAGGTGCATACGCGGTACTACTCGGCTTGAATGAATGCGCAAGGCTTACACGTGTTATGGAACTTGATGAGCTCTGCAAGAGGGACTCATGTAGAATGCTCTAGTTTGATGCAGCGGCTGCAGCCAATGATGATGAGCCTTGCGGATCCAAGACAGCACCTAAGTCTCATTGCGCTGGCTTTCGTGTAGACCCCGAACAATGCTGCCTTGTTGACTCCATTGGATATTAAACTCGTCGTGTCCCGAGGCGCTTCCTTGGGTTGTCCTGCGTTGTCAACAAGAGGTGGGTAGACTGGCGGGTATGACGTGGGACGTGAAGAGCCCAAGCCCACCCGGGCAAGCACGTGGAATCGCGCCGCACTAGTTTCCGCATCCGGTTTACCGGTTGCATCAACACCACACCACGCCGGCGACGAACAGCGTCTGGCAACGGCAACGAAGACAAACAAGCAGTATCCAAACGAACGCTGCAGCAGAGGTTTCGACATTGGACAGGCTTCGCTACTAAGAGCTTCACCCGGCAAACCGAAGAACACGTCTCTGTAACTTTCCTATCTGAATCGCAATCTTCTCGTTCGCAACAAGTCAGTGCTTGGACTGGTATCTGGATGAACGTGTGCGCTACTTCAATCCACAGACTGCCGTCGATATTCTCCACCTTGCGCTGCGAAGATACTGGAAAGACAACGGATTGTTACTCCGCCGGTGGTAAGAGCCTTTGACGTCCCGACGAAGAGCTGTCCGAAGCGACACATCTTGATCTCATGAGGAGCCCCGGTAGTCACATGCTGCTTCCTTCATCTGCCAACAGCGATATGAGAAGCAATCTGTCACGGAGCGAGCGCGGGTGGGTTCAGAAGAGGTGCAGAGCACACAAAGATGGCAGTCTTGGGGTGGCGGCAAGCCAGGCAATCGTCGGGTTTTTAGGGGACAGGGTCCGCCAGTCCGGTGCATTGGCCCTGCCAAATCGACTTTGCTCCTCCCACACTCGCAATGGCACCAGGCAGTTGATCGGCGACGTTAATTATACGGTAGCAGCCACACCGAGCGGCGTAAAGTCACAGACAGCCAAGGGGAGTTCTCAAAGCGGTAGAACAACACATAACGACCGAGCAAGTTACACACATGTACACTAGCACCAGCGCAGGACATGAAGAGAAGATTGGCGAGCCAGAGCTACGGTAGGGGCGAGCAATAAGTCTTGACTCGAAGGCTATGGTGCTGAGGAATTGCACGAAGATTATGGACTATGTGAAGCAGTACAATAGTACAACAGATTACGTTGCGCGCCACAACTTCTTCGACGGTCTCGTGAGCAAGAATCCCACAACGACACGCAAACTCTACGCACCATGCCATCAACCGCGTGTGAGGTTTATCTTCAGAGTTGTTGAGGCTATGGAACATGCCATCATCACCCCAAGAATAAGGGAGAACTCACATGGTGACTTGCACGCAGTACAAGCAGGGTGTAGTTCTCAAGAGAGATGTTTACCAGTAAGCTAAATCTTAGAGTTCACCACTACTAATTATACACAATCGAAGCTGACTGCACGAGTATGCTGAATGTTCGAGACAACCTTGGAACTCCACATCAGACTAACGTGATCACAACCTCGGAAATATCTAAGCACCCTCCTTCCTGTGGAAACAGACAGCATACAAATAACAGGAGACTCCCGTGATGTCTCACGCTATGAGGAAGAGCGTATCTAGGGTCGGAAATCTTCGATATGCTCCAAGTGCTCAATCCAGATGAGAGCATCCTCCAATCCTCACGTCATCCTTGGGATGGGTCAGAACTCTATATCGCTACCATGTCGTGGTTGTGGCTGGAATTCTCTCCCGTGGCGTGGCCCTCGTCTCCGTACGTATCGAAGATCCGTATTTAATGACGTAAACGGGCGCATTGAATTAGCCTTACGTCGTTACTCCTAGCAAACCTAGGTGAAGGCGACTCGCGGGCATAAGCGAATGCTAGACATGGTCTGTGCGGACATGAGTATAAACTCCTCGCCCACGAACGAACTCTCCGCATCCTTCGTCAAGATTCTCCAAGATGGAGGTGCTTCTGGACTATGCGCCCGAGAACGAGAAAACGCAAGACAAGCGACTCCAAAAGGAAGCAAACACCCAGGAATTTGCTGCACAGTACGCCAACACACTACTACACAGAGAACAGGCGTTCTCTGCCTATTGCAGCGACGACACAGACGATGGCCGCCGCATGGACACATGGATAAACGTGTTCCCCGGAACGGAGGCCTACCCGACCGCTATTGAGATACGACGGCTGACACATGGTCTCGTGGAACGCAACGTTGACGAATACGGCAGATACTTAGGAGGTGAGAGGTCAACAGATGGGTTGACTTCAAAGACTATGGCCGATTACTCAAAGCTGTTGGATTTTACAAAAGAGCATGGAAGCGTAATCCGAGAGTCCTGGTCGAAATTGAGGGTGTCTGAGCGCCAACAAGTTCTGAGAGACGTTGATCCTGACATACCGATCGTCCATCGCCCAGATCTGGCGTTCGCAGCGAGACATGTGGAAGGACTTTACGCGTCAGACCTAAGCCGACATCGATTCTTTGCGTCTGACCTTGTACGAATGCCGTACATCAACCTTCAAGACCTCACGAGTAGACCAGAAGCGATGCTTCTGCTTTTGCACTACCGCACCTGCCAGCTCCCAGCAGCATTTGCTCATGCCGAGCTCCTACATGCTGCCTGCTACCAGACGAGCGAGGAAGAGCACTTCGCTTGCCTTCAAGGGTGGGCGACAAGCTTCACCGGCCAAGACGAACATGATTACGGCAAGATGATTCCGTACATCAATCTGAACGAAGCTAGAGCTCGGATTGAAGATGGCCTTGCGGTCCACCCGGGAGTAGCTGTGACGGTCCTACGTACACAGCTGTATCTCTATCGCTTGCTCCATCGAATTTGCAAGCGCATTTTGGCGAGATCTCTTGGACTCCAGCCACCCCCACGAAGTCTAAGCAGTTGTATATTCTTCAATCTTCAAGCCTTCGACACTTCACCACGTGGCATGGCCATGATTGCTATGGCGCCGTTCCTTGGAGCTCAAGATCTTAACATAGATCGCATGAGGCTCTTGATGTCCACAAAGATCGACGAGTGCGCAGATCATCTGGGTTCGCTCAGGGAAGATCCAGCGTATTTCGCCGAACAATTCGAGAGTCAACGAAAGCACTGCCTTGCTTTGATCAAAGACGACATGGGCAGGACAGCGCCACCAGAGCTAGACTTGCCGGATAGCGACTCTTTGGTCGTCCAAAAGTTAATGGTATCCGCCTACGAAGCACTCATGTGCTGGACCAGCGCATTGGTGTTAGCGGACAAGGTCAAGGATGCCAAGGCGAATCTGCCAACAACGGAACCAGGTGATGAGATTCCTTTGGCATATAGGGAAGCGATCAAGGATCTTTGGGCGTTTCTCCACGACATGCTCGACCACAGAATGATATTCTTCAACGCCGGTATTCAGGCGGCTCCGTCCCTTCGAGCCTACCAGCACGCCAAGTACGAGGTTGAGAATGGGGAGGCTCTCATGCGCCTAAGACCAAAGACCGAAGTCTATCTAGAGCCTCAAAATCCCGTTCACCGCTTCGTAGCGGGCTCGTATCGTCTAACGCATCACGTCAACGTCCCAATAGAAGGGTACGCCCACATACTGGAGTATTTCGATCATCTGGCCAACACCCACCAAGAGGTCCGAAACGTTATCACACCCTTCATCGCATACCAACTATCAGAAGTCTCGCTCATGTCTGCATGTATTCACCATCTACATTTGTATGCACCATGGTCAAGAGCGATCCTGCGTGATCTGGATGCAGGGCTGAAGTCGGGAACGATCTCTATTCCCCATCCCTGGAAGCAGTTGAACAAAGTAGAGTGGGGCGTAAAGCTCACGAAAGCTGCCAATCCATCAGATGGCAAGTTTTATTACCCATCGGACGAGCCGACCTCGCAAGCAACTGTCACCGCCATGCAGGCAGCTGAAGGCAAGCTTCGGAGGTTCTGGAGCATGTTCTTGACCGAAACGAAAAGGAGGTGCAACGGCCGCGACATCGACTCCTTTGTTGATCACCCAATCATCAAGGCACCCATCTACAAAACCGGTGACCTGCCATCGGAAAGCAAATCCGGTAACGACTCTCAACAGCACATGAGTCATCTGTACCTTCCGCTTAACCATACGTCTCATGACCCGAAGACCGAAATAACGGGAACATTTCCCAGCTCCAAGATCATGCAAACGACCTCGAAGAAGCAGCGTAAGAAGGCCAAGAGAAGCGGCAACGTCGAACCCGAGCCACTCGCTATCGTGCCAGTCCCGATAGAAGAGCCAATCTTACCCAAGATCGCGGTCAACAGGCGCAGCTGGAAGACACTCGATGCCATGTTCCGCGTGTCGCAAGAAGTGCCATGGTCCGATTTCCTACATACCATGACCGACATCGGCTTTGCTTCCCAGAAGCTCCTGGGCTCAGCGTGGATGTTCAGGAACGAACGGAACCAAAAGGCTCAAGTCCATGAGCCCCATCCAGATAGTAGGCTAACGCCTAAGCAGGCCAGACGAATCGGAAGAAGATTTGGCCGCAACTGGAAATGGTCGATGGAGAGTTTTGAGATTCGTGGCGTGAATGGCAATGGATAGGACGGAAGTCAGTGCAGTATTTCTTTCGTCAGCTTGGATTCATCTGAGATTCCCTGTGTTTCGTGTCATTTTTGGCTGGGCGCCTACATGGCCGGTTTGATCAACGATGCAAGACCCCTTAGACGCGTCTTGCATGCTTGTGCATACCGAGGGATTTGCTTCAGCGCCTTGGACACAACAGTTTGTACGTAATGGAAGACGGGGAAGAGCGATATATAGGATGACATAAAGGCAACGAAAAGTGCTGGTTCTCGGGTGGCATCCTGGGCCAGCGTTTGTCGCAAATCATGGCCGTGCTACTATCCGTCCTGTCAGATCCCTGCGTGGAGGTCCTTCTCGGCAATGCAACACTGTGAACAACATAAACAAAAAGTGTATAGAAAACCGATCTCATTGTGATGTAAGAGTAGAAGGTCTACCGAGATGTCATAACTAGATATACATGAGAGCCATGAGGGGTAGGTGCTGCGCTGAAAGCCATAAGACACAGTGGCACCCAGTGCCGGTCATGTCTGCGTCTGTCGCGCTGCCGTCCACACAAATAGATATGCGATTCCTTGCTCTACTCCGAGAGGATATCTCCGTCTTGTGTCTCTCCCTCTTCTTGGTCTTCAAGGGCTTGTCGGAGGCTGTGAGATATCCTTACCTGCAAGGGGTCGGCTTGGTCCGCGAGAGGTATGGCAGCGACGAGCAGGGCAAGGTAAGGTGCACGGCTGTTGGGCTTGGGAACGACCTGGTCATCTTGTGTTGGTCAGCGACGGTGTTGAAGAGATTCGTCAAGGGTTTGCTTACCTTGCTCGCGCTTGACCCTCTTCCGACCCGTCGATGGGCTGAGCGGGTCTTCATGCCTTGCCATCATCTCACGGGGCCGCCGCAACTGCCATGAAGTGGGGGAACTCTGTTTCTCTTCCTTGATGTTGCTGCCCTTTCGCTTCTGGGGTAGTTGGAAGGGGTTTGGCTGTTGATTCGCCAACACAAAAGCCGGTTTCCAAGGCTGAGCTTGGTTTCCCGGAGGCGCCTCCATTTCAGAAGAGTTTCGTTGTACTGTTGTCGCGGTCTCGGGATGCTCGGGCCACTGCATAGCCTCCAGTGGGGCGTTGAACCAGTCCATGGCATGGTCGTATTGGCCGGATGAACACGTCCCAGGCTCTTTTTCGTCGTCGGTCGCACCGTAGGCGAGGCTCAAATTCTGGAGCCATGGGCGCTGTGTGGGCTTCGGAGAGCCGTTGAAGGTCGACTGGAACATGCCCTTGTGCAAGTTGTAGCCGTCTCGGGTTGGCTGCAAGAGCACACCTGGAACCGCTGGGGCTTTTGCCACATTGGGTTCGTCTATGAAGTTAGCGTCGGCAGGGCCAGTTGCGGATGCAAGGTCAGCGACTTGACTCACGTATGTGATCCTCGGCACCGCTGAGCTTCTTGGCGTCGGAGCGGACTGCGTTGAGAAGCGGAGTGGCTTGTATGCGTCAGACATGCTTTTCTGTCGCCATGTGTACTCTGTCACCTTCAAGACGAGCCTTCAGGTCTGGAGGGTTGACATTTTCTTTGTCTTGGTGGGCTGTTTGACCAAGTCCCGCCTTGACGTTGGACTGTTGGCTTGGGTGGGCCATGGCTTGTATGACCTACTGTTGCGGTGAGCTCCGCGAGATCGGTACCGCAGTTCGAGATGGTGAGTGTGCCGGTGCTGGAAGTTTGTTGGGTGATGACGATCGCGTCATAAGGTGGGGCACACTAGCGCAGCGCGTGTTCACGTGACTGCTGCAGTGCGTGAACCAGGGAGTGCATCTCCAGTAACAGCGCTTGTATGCATCGATATCAGAGTGGGCCCTATCTGGAATCCTCTTGCGCCTCCAGAAGCTGACCAGCGATGGATATATCTCAAGTACTCGCCGTATGGTAGCTGCTAGATCGAGGCGCTCACGACGCGACCTCGTCTCGAAACGCCAGCCGAACATCAGATAAATGGCAATTTTGTCACTTGTCGCACTAGGCCCGCGCAGGCTCGTGCAGGCAGCTGCGATCCGTCCCAAGGTCCACTTCGGTTACTGGGCATTTGCAAAGTGTGGTAAACTCTGTGAATTCCGTATCCCGTATTCATGTCGCAAGATGCAAGTCTCATTAAAGCACGGCAAGATGCAAAAATCTTGTCACTCTTCACTCTCGCAACCGGTGGTATCATTCTTTTTCGTATGACCAGATTCGCTTCTCGTCTTTCGCTAAAGCAGCGTTCGTCTCCGTGACGGTGAGTGCGCGCGAGATACTTTCATTCATCATCAATCGATGTGAGATACTCCGCCTCCAAGACTCCGCCTCATGTTTACACGTGGTGACGGTCACGGGGCGCGCAGCTCACCTGGAAGACTATTTAATCTCTCCTCCGACCTCCATTCATGTAGCATCCTCCGTCCTTCTCACTCCGACTACTACCTGGACATAATTGCAACTCCACATCTCATCACAACGCAACAAAACCTCAAGCCAAACGAACTTACATCCAACACATTCTACTACAAGATGTCTGCACCCCGCGAATTCAATGTACCCATCGGAACATTGACCAACATCAAATTTCGATACGTGAGAGCCGAAGCAGTACGTTCATTGCTTTGGGGCAACAGAAGCTTTTTCTAACATATCTACAGGCCATACCCACCATTATCGGAAGCCTCGTCATGGACAACATGGCGCCCTCGCTGTCCGCCATCATCACCCTCGTCATGGCTATCGCCATGGGTTACCACGGTCATTTGGCATTGTTCGCACCGAACGTCGCCACCATCCCTCAACGCGTCAAGTTTGCATACGTCTCCAACGGGGTGACCTGGACCTTCCTCCCCCCATACCTGGACAAGAGACATTTCGTTATCCCAACTGCACTAGACCTTCAATCTATCGCGACAAAGTTCTTCGACTATATCTACGAAGTTGGCCAAACAGATGACATTGTTGGGAAAGCTACTGCAGCTCAACGTGCAATGCTTGTGTCCTTGTACCGTAGGGCCATTGCGCAGGTTCACGAGGTGGAGGTGCTGAAGATTGTGCTCGACGTTCGCCCCTTGGTGCTGACCAACAGCCGCGTGAAACAGTTACTGCAAGAGTTTCTGGGACGCATCGGCTTGCATGCAGAGCGATCCATCCCCTCAGCAATGCACACATTGGTCGTCCTCCGTGGATCCCTCGCCCAACACGCAAGCGCCAAGGCTCTACTAGACAGCCATGACGCCCCGATCCCTGCATTCTGGGCGGGAAAGTTTCAGTGGCAAGACACCGATGTAATACAGCACGTACGCATTGCCTTTGACGACCCAGCCATCCCGGACGCCGTCAGGGCCAGGGATCGTCTGCACCTGACCTTTGAGTCGGCTTGAGGAGAAGAGGCCCTGGAGAGCTAGAGGCACGTACAGACGACCCAAGGGTACAGCTCATAACTGGGGGAGCTAGTGACATTGGCATTAGTGCAACAGCAGTGATTGGGTACATAGGTTCAAATACAGGTGGTCAATGATACATTCTTCCATCAAGGCATGGCTGTGACGTTCGTTCAAAGGTGTGATTTGTTATTCGCCAAAGAGAGAAGCATCTTCTTCCTAACAGGCGCAGGGTTTATCTTGACAAGCTTCTTTCGGTCTTACTGGAGCCGAGACAACATCAATATCTTGTGGTAGCAAGATCACGGGCTTTACCGCAAGTTCATTGCATGTAGCTCTGTTGTCTCCAAGACCAAAGAGATTTCGCATCCTATTTCGCCCCTTCCGCAGTAGTCGTAGGGCTCTTGAACCCATAACAACCTCTTGAAAGCCAACGGAGCCCCAAGACTACTTGAGATCAAGAGGGTAGTTGTTCGGCACGACCAGGTTGTCTTCAAGTCCCAAATGATTGCAATGTTCATGTCCGATGTGCGTTGCATGGCCCTTGAAGCCAACACAGCCTTGTCTTTGCCTGAGGTCAAGAGGATAGCTGTTGTGTACAATCCCGATGTCTTCAAGCCTTGTTGATTGCAACGCCCATGCATAAATGGTCGTTACAGGGCCCTTGACGCCAACACTTCCTCTTGACACCAACACGTCCCACTGACGCCAACACTTCCTCTTGACGCCAACACGCCCCACTGACGCCAACATGACCCACTGACGCCAACACAGCATCTTGACGCCAACGCGTCTTCTTGATGCCAACACGGCATCTTGATGCCAACGCGTCTCCTTGACGCCAACACTTCTCCTTGACTGCTTGAAGCAAAGGGCACAGCTCTTGGACATAGTTATGGTGTCTGAAAATCTCAATACATGCGATTTCCATTATTCCATTGCATTCGTGGAGTCCTTGAAGTCAATACAACACAGATTAGCGCCTACAAGGCAACAATCACAGACCTCAGAGCAACATGATTGGGCATATGTGTTACGTCTAACAAGTCAAGCAAGGTCTCTTGGAGGCAATGGTAGATCGCAACGGAAAGAGTTTGATACGCTAAGCTAAGGTTGGAAAGACTATATATTCCGAAAAGTTCATGTGATGATAAATGGAAAAATGACACGCTTTTCTGGCTTCCCCTCATATGCAAGTTCGGCCAACGTCCTGTTGGACCCTAGATAGGTATAAATGCAAGATAGATCATCGTCTCCAAGAGCGCGCCGTGGCCCCATGTTCCGTTTGTCCTGTTGCCCTCAAGCACGAGCTGCAAGTTGTTTCGCTCTCATATCAAAATATGCTGTCACCTTTTCGATGGCAGCGATCATGTCATCGGGCATGGGGTCCAGGAGCCTTAGTCGAAAGTTGCTCGGCATATCGGCAATGGAATCGGCAATGGAAACTGGATCCATGGGCTCACCTGCCTTGTCTTCTTCCTTGTTCGCTGTATTGGCATCAACAGCAACCGGCTCGGGAAGCTCTTGTCGCGTATCCTCCAGCCACTGACCCCAAGAAGGCGCATAGCAGACACTGAATCCGGTGTCCCTCGCAAAGTCCCTCATCTCTGAGAGCACACGTGTTGGCGGTGTCGATTTCAAGTTGAGTGTTTCGGCCATCTGGGCTCCGATGAGTTTGTACTCGCTTGCGGACAAGATCCTTTCGAGGTCGAAGAACATCCTTTGCGTGTCGATGGTCTTGACTTCACTATTTTGTCTCTTGGAAGGCTGTCCCTCCGTTGTCTTGCGTCTCTTGGCAGGCTGTCCGTCGGCTCCCTTGGATTTCTTGATGCTGTTGGGGTCCTTGGGCTGCGCAGTAGTGGTTTTGGCTGGCAAGGCCTTCTTTGCGTCCAGACTCTTCTTCTTCTTCTTCTCTACGAGCTCTTTCCGGAGCCAGTCACGATAATGGCGCTTGTAGAAGTTCAGGGCACTCGCTTGCCACCATTCAGCGCGCGGAATACCGGTGATCAAATCCTTTATGTCGACTTCAACCATCTCGATCGGTGCGGAGTCAGGGCCCGGGGTCCCGGAGCTGAACAAGGACGGCTTGAGCTTGAAGTCATTTGTGTGTGGCAGCCTGTTGATGAAGACACCCATCCAGACCTCGTTGCCTGTGACGGAGTTCTTGGCGACAAGCATCCGCCTGGACGTATCACAAAAGGTGTAACCGCTTGGATCTTCACCCGCCTGTTTCCTTTAGTGTCGATCCCATGCGTAATGTGTTGAGTGTGACTTACGTGGTAGTCCTCTGGTTTCTTCCAGCACTCAGCCAGCGCCTTGTCGATGTTTGGCGTGGGATATGCCATCTTCTGTTGTCTTGGGGAGGATTTGAAGAGTAGTAATTCAATAAATGGAATAAATGAATACCTATTGCGGTGGTGTAGGAACAATGGAGGTGGAAAGACGACGAGTTTAGGTTTGTCACGATCCAAGGGTGGGTCCAAGGTGAGAGAAATGAGATAAATTGCGCAGGCTTCCCACGTGGGTAGGTAATAGAGTCCTTCGTCTGGCGTAAGAGTCGCGGTAACTACATGTGCTCTCCGTCACTTGCAGCCTTCGTTTCAGCGCAGGTTGTGACGGACACGAGCTTCTTCAATTCCGCGATGGTGGTGCCCAACGCTTGCATACCCTCACCGAGATCCCTGTATAGCCCATGCATTACCAAGGTGCGGGTTTTGCGCATATCAGCGGTGTAGGTATGCCTGTTGAGATGTTCCTTATCCATTTTCATGGCGGTCTCGAAAAGCTCCACCGCCACCAAGTCCTTCTCCCTTGTTCCACCGTTTTCGTATCTTTCCATCTTTTCCGGTGATTCCATTTGAACACTCAGATACTCCTCACTATGATCCGAAACGTGTGTGTTGATCTGTACCTGGGCCCGCTCCAGACGCGGAATCAGTAAGGTCCTGATGAAGCTCTGGATATCGGCAACATCCTTCCAGGCGGCAAGCTCTCTTCTCCTCTCTTTAGACGTTCTTGCTCTCTCATCGGACTCGCTTGGCTCTCTCTCAGCTTTCGGCTGCGTGGGTAGCTTCGGCTCGGTTGGTGGTTTCTTCGCCCTGCGATCTAGTAGCACGATGGCCCTACCTATCTCCTTCCTTGTAGTGAAGACCGGTCCCAGAAACGTGTAGATTCCTTCGAACTCGCAAAGTCGGTAGGCTACAGATATCTCTTTCCATTGAAGCGTGGCGATCAGGTCATCGAATCTCTCGGGGGGGACAAAGTCTTCGTAGCGTTCGCACGGCTATGTGGGGAGTTAGCAATCTGTTCTTTTGGTGCCGTCTTGATGTTTTCTAACCACGTCATAGCAGGCCGTCAACGTGACAACACCGCCGTCGGTCAAGCGCTCCAAGAAATTATAGATAGGCTCCAAGGTATACCTAGCCTCCCGGAGTCCGTCGATCAGCACTTCGTTGCGGTGAAGAAGTCTCTCCGTGAGGGCATCCAAAGCTGGGTCTTCGGGTCTCCTGTTGTCTTGGTTAGAACAGAGCGCACTATAGTCCAGAACGTTGTTGTTGGCGCACCAGACGTGCTGTTTATAATATTCACAATCTTCTGTTGCCATAAGCTTGAGCATTTCGTTTCTCCTCCTCTTGATATGTTCGCTCTTTTCTTGGTCGTCCCCGTCACTTTCGCTGGCGACAATGAGGGTTAAGGGATCGAAGTCGGAGTCGATTTCTTCTGGCTTCACTTCCTGGTCTGTCGCCATAGTGAGGATGTCGTAGAGTTGTTGGACGGCGCAGGTCTTCGATGTCTTGTGTTGGCACAAATCGCTGAAGGACGCGGCTCGGTGCGCGCACGAGAGGAGGTGACTTATGGATTTTCTGCTTCCTCGAAAGCTGGAGATAACGGCGAAGCGCTAGCTCTAGCGAGATGCCGACTCTCAAGTGTGCCCACGTGCAGGTGCCTAGGTGCAGGCCCGGGGTGGAGTATGCCCAAGTGGACTAGCTTCCGTGCACGTGACAACCAACTAGCGCATGTATATCTGCGTCTTTCGAGCTTCGCATTCGTATACAGCTCCCACTACTTCCATCTTCCATCATCACCCACTACTTCCATCTTCCATCACCACCCACATTCGAAATATTCGTCAAGACAAGAGCATGGCAGGACCGATGAGCAAAGAAGAGCGAGTGAGTGCACGCCAAGCCCAGAGCGTGGAATGTCCTCCCTGCCAACAGGACCTGTGCTAACAAAGCCTAGGTAGCCCAACGCGCACGGCTCAAGATCCTGGACGCACCGTCTGTATGCTACCTTGGGTGACTTGTTCATGTGCAGACACTGACAACAACAACAAAAGCCACAACCTGATCCACCAGCCAAGAGGCAAAAGACCACTCCTGATGACGACAAGAACGATCCCAGCCTTGCCGACCAGATTGCCGCGGTCAGCCAGCAGTTGGTGGCAGCAAAGTCCGACCTCGCCATGCGCAAGAAGGTTTTGGAAGAAGAGCAAGAGAAGGGAGCGGCTCTTAAACACTTCGACATGGCCTTCACCTACGGCCCCAAGGAGCGGGAGGATCTGTTGGAGAGTAGCAAGGTTCTCACCAAGCACCTGAACTTTCACAGAGACCAGACCGTGGCTAAGTGATTGGTTTGTGGAGTGACCTGGTTGGCACTGACAAGGATGGAGAGGACAAGGATGCAGAGGACAAGGATGGAGAGGACAAGAGATACCAAACATTGATGCTCTAGAAATGAATTTCATCACCGGTGAACCAATACTGTGCCACATTTCGCATTTTGTGTTGATTCGTTACATATGTGCATGAACACCTTGATCTTTATATGTGTGAGATGGCAGACTTATCGTCCACCTTCACGGCACATGACATATTCCTCCATGACCCTGCGCGCACACAGCGTTGGGATGTTCATCGGCTCCGGCTCAAGAGTCTAAGAGTCCTCAGGAAGAGTAGAGTGCGCCTCATAGTCGTCCAGTTCTCCCTTCAACTGCAGAAATACTTCAATATTGCCGTCGAAGTCTTTGCTCAGTTTCTTGTAGTCTGCGGACAGCTTGTTAAGAAGTGCCTGGAACCTGTCCTGGGTTGTGTCAATTCATTGAGCAACAAGAGTAGGTCAGAAACACGACTAACCTGTAGCACCTGGAATAACTGCAGATCGCTTTTGAACTCGAGGAAGGCATTGGTGTCGTCGGCAAAGCGCTTCTGTTCGGCTTGGATTGCCTCGTTGGTTTCTTCGAGCTCTTTGTTGACACGTCCGAGCTCCTCTTGTACCGCTGAGAGGTGGGCTTGAGTGTGCGAGTTGGCTGAGGTCATCTATAAGATGTCAGTACTGCTGTTGGCGCATTTGGCGCGGATAAGTCTCTTACCTTGTCTGATCGATCCTGGACGTCGGTGTAAGTTTCAGTAAGAAGGTGTGTGGAGGGAGAAGGGTCCCGATGTCTATGTATCCGCGGTGACGCACAGACCCTCCCACCCACGTGGTGGTCACGTACTTCAAAAAGCTGCGCCCGGGCGTCTGCTTTCACCGTGACGCACGGACGCTGCCATAATATCCAATCCTTGCGCATGTGAATTCTTCCAAGTTACCTACATTCCATTCTGTTTACCGAATCTCTGACCAAATTTTCGATCCATTACGCAACACAACACACCCGCGCAACACAATACCTAGGTACAAGATGACAGGTCGACGCCCCCCAGCCCCCCGAAACGCCGGCCAATGGCCTCCCAAGAGACTTTGCTGGAGCGCCAACAGGCTGATGGCACAAGAGTCAGCAGAAGAAAAACAGCAACGCCTTGAAAGGCAGGAGGTCAAGAGCAACAGCTTGAGGGATCTGTCGTGGAATGGAGTTGTTACGGAAACCGGATGGATGGACCCAACAGCAGCTGCAGAGCATGAGAGTATCGAGATCGATGACGAAGAAGCTCTCAGGCAAGCGTTTGAGCTTGTCGGCAGGGGCGCAGCAAGGGCTCCCGACACCGCCAGGCAGAACGGCCTCGACTTCCCCGCAGACCCCAAGAACATGCAATGCAAGGTGGACGGACAAGAGGGCAAGCAGGCGCTTATATTGAAGGACTATCAGCGTCAAACATGCCAGACCATCGTCGACGACTACAAGAGAGAAGGAAGTGGGATGATTCTAGGGCTCGAGATGGGCCTCGGCAAGACCGTAGTCACCCTCGGTAAGTGACAGCTTGTCGGACGACGATCTGAGTTCTTGCCTCTAACAGCTACAGCTATCTTAGACCATATCAAGAAGATAGACGGGGTCCCGCACCTCATGATCGTTCCAGCCAGTCTGATGGCCACGTGGGAAGACGAGATCAACGACAAGATGGTCGAACCTCTCAAGTACTGCATGTACCGTAAGTCTATGCGATTGACAACAGCTCCTGACATGGTAAAGCGGCTAACAAACCCATCAGATGAGGACCCCAGCCGCGGCCATACCAACAAGCATAGCCCGGCCGAGCTCCGCAAGTTTGACGTTGTCTTCGCCTCATACGAGAAGCTGCTGTTGGACGCAAAGGCCCTTCAAGAGACGGAGGCAGCCTTCAATGCCCGAGTAGAAGACGCGGTCCGATGCAACAGCACGTTGGCCGTCATCCATTGGCACGTCATTGGTCTCGAGGAAGGACATCGGATCGCAAACGCATTATCCAAGACGACAAACGCCGCATATAACCTCCAAGGCCTCTATCGGATGCCTATAACGGGTACACCGTTCCAGAACGAATACTCGGATTTGCAAAGCCTGTTCTGCTTCATGGGTACAGTTCCATGGAACTCACCTTCTGTCTTCGCCCGCGTAAGTTCCAAGGGCGCATGTGTCCAAGCAACAACTTCACGGCTAACTCACAACAGTTCTTTTCCTTTAAAGAAAGCCAGAAAAACCAGAACCACGTTCTGCACAGGGAGAGCAACGCGATTCTGGCGCTCGCGATCAAGGCGTGCACAATCCGAATCCGAACGACCGACAACTTTGGCGGCTTACCCGTAGCCGATTACAAACCGGCAATCACAGAATTTAGGAGGCACAAGTTGACATTCGAAGAGACACAAGAGCAGGAGAGCACTAGGACGATATGGGATGAGGCCTACAAGAAAGATCGCGACGCTGACCGCAGGGCTGGCGTAGTAGGCTCTGGCAGCGACATGGAAGAGTCAGTATTCGCTAGCATCACAACCGCACGCTTGGCCATGGCACATCCGGCATGCACAAAATACCGCTACGGGTCATCAGAAGACTTCCGCCAAGCATCTATCAAGAAAGACCACGAGGTGCTTGTGGCAGACATCGGAAATGAGATGCTAGCAAGAGACGCCAAGGGCAACGAATTATCCAAAGGGGAGAATTTGAGTCGCACAAGACTCTGCGCAGAGACCAAGAAGACCTGGGCTGAGTCGTCAAGGATGGAAGAGCTGATAAAGGTCTGCAAGGAACACAGAAGCGAACGCCCAGGACCCGTACTGGTATTTGCGGAGTTCCTTTCTGCTTTAGATGTCGCCAAGAACGCCCTCGAAGAGACCTTCGGCACGAACACGAAGATCGCCCGAATCGACGGGACGGTGAAGAAGGCGGAACGACAGGCTGTCGTAGATAAATTCAAGAACACACCAGAAGCCTACGACTTCATCCTGATCACCGCGAGGTGTGGCGGCCTCGGATTGACCCTCATTGGGGCAAACTGCGTCATACACTTGACACCGCTCTGGAATCCTCATTTACAGGAGCAGTGTACCGCTCGCGCTGTCCGGATAGGGCAGACGAAGCAGGTATATGTCTATGTCCTTCATGCCAAGAACAGCATAGAGAATCATGTACTAGATGCGCAAAGGACCAAGAAGAGGAAGGCTGTAAGGACATTGGATCCCGACGACGCTATGAGAACGGCGATGGATACAGTTGCCGGTTGGAGCCAAGAGGAATTCACTAAATCCGTGAGTGCTCTCCTGGACTATTTGTTGTTGTCCTCGCTAACGTATTGCAGATGACGAAAGCGAAGACAGCCTCCAAAGCCTACGCCGACAAGTTGGCGAAACGGAAAGAGAAGAAGCAGAGAAGGCTCAACGGCAAGCAGGAAGCAAAGGACGTCGTAATGCGTGACGCGCAACGAAGTCCTCAACCCAAGCAATCGCTTTCGGACGACGTTGTTGGGAACGACAGCGATGATAGCGTTGATGATACGCAGGTAGATCAGCTCGCACGGGCTTTAGAGAACGATGATAGCGAGGAGGAGTAGGAAATCAGTTGAGGAGAGTGAGCGGGGCTTGGTACATGGAAGCGGTTGCATTATGAGATTGCCGTGAGGAGATGCGACACAAGTTTTCGCCGGTCATTGTCATCTAGTATGAAAAGGAACACTCATGTGTAGATAATGCGAATGCGTTGACAACACAGTCTCCTTGTGCCTCTTGAGTGTGAATCACCCTATGTAGTCTCGTTGCTGCTCAAGAGACAGTACTGCACAGCAAGTTGCGATAGGGCGAGCCTGGCCAGAAAGATTTCTTTTGCCAAACAACATCTCAGTCAATGATTCGTGCCATGTGCTGCATTATCGATGAACGGCCTGTAGCACGTCACTTGTAAGTTCTTCTTTGCCATATTCCCATCTTGAGAGCAATGTGGTAGTCGCGATGTTGGTGTTGACAGAGAGCATGGCAAGGTCACGATCTGCAGGGTAGGAAAGAAAGGCATGCGACACCTAGCTGCATAGCTTCCTCATGTCGCCGCAACACCGACAGTAACGAGTGTAAGCCCTCAATTGGAATTACTCTGGAGTAGAAGTGGCCGTGAGCGATCGGCGCCAGGCCCCTTTTTAGCCGGATGCCATGCCCAAGTGTGCGGGAGGTGTCAGCGCTAACCAGTGCTTATCCCGACGCCTCAACACCGCTTTGCCAATGACCTCAGCTTCCACAACACAGCCTTCTCTATCATCTCCACATAGTCAGGAGAACATGCTGTCGCATGCTTCGTCTAAGCCACTATTGCGAACGGTTCTACGCGAGTTCGGGAGCTTGGCATGTCCCTGGGCTACCTAGGCACACGGCACCCACGGCAGCACAATACGAACCATCACAACAACAAAAGATTAGGCTATGAGTCCCGCATTTCGAGGTATCAAAATATGGTAGCTGATTCAGAATATGGCTACACAGACACCACATGTGGTCCCACATTCCTCGAAGCTGACTCGCAAACAAGTATGGCAATGCCACCATCACACTGGATACGTTAATGATGTACAATCATGTCGCTTGGCATACTCCAGCACGTACCTGCATATCTTCGGGAAAGCCTTAATCGCGAAAACGGCGACGGCATGTATGCCGCGGATGCTGCGTCTGCAGATCTTTTCGCAACGTCGATGATGCCGAACATTGTGTGGCTTAGCTCATCTCCTTCACCCGCCTCGGTGTACGAACGACGCCAAGGGGAACACGGGTTGGGCTCAAAAGTAACGCTGAGCTCTCATGATCTACTCGCTATACTGCTTGCCTGATCCACGAATGGAAGCCTTACAGCGCATTGCTTCTTGCGCCTCGCCTCGCCTCGCCTCGCCTCGGGTGTCTCGACCATATTCAGATTCATGGCCCATACTTTTTCCCGCCACATAGCTCGCTTCATCGTATTCTCAAGCCCCACGGCCAAACATAGAACGTCGGGTATTTGGCATACTGTCATAGAATCCCATATAACATGGCCTTCAGCATACCTTCAGATGCAGTGTCTTGCTTCTCAACACGGTCGTTCCTTCTTTGCGCAGTCAAGCCTGTTGCGGTCGCTCGTGAACAATCATACGGCCAACTTTTGTTGCTACAACCATGGTAGCCTACGCTCCTTACTTCGCCGCTACGGTTTCATTGTCGTCTGTCCTCCACGCAGTCACCCCTTCTGAGTTCAGCATCGCGCCCATCTGCCAGGTCGTCACAGCTACAGTCACTGAATACGCCGCAGCACGACCCACGACCAACTCTCATGGGCATGGTGGTCCATACTACAATCCCTACAACGACGTCCCTCTCCCTTTCGAGTGGCCGGGTAAACCATCACATGGAGAAGCGTACGCTCCTCCTCGGCCTTCGACACCCTACGAATACGGCGGGCCCGCCAAACATGACTACAAAGAACCGTGCTGGGTTCCCAAGGGCACCGACCATCTGAAGAGCTCACTTCCAAATGTCGAACAGTGTGGTAACTCACAATGGGGTTTGATCGACTCTCCCCATCTCCCGGCGAATGGTCTTCCGAGTAGTAATCCCGATGGCGCATATACGTCCGAGTCAACGAGGCCATCATCTACACGTTCTCTTCACCCTACAGTATCTGGTCATCCATACGGCTATGCAAACGCCACAGGGTCTACTTCTTCCGGACCGACTGCCACTGGGGCGCTCGAGCCTATCGCTACTGCGGCCTCCCAACCGAAGGCTGATCTTCTTTGCCCGTTCATGCCTGACACCGGCGTGACAAGAACATACGACCTCCACGTGGCTTATCAAACGATCGCTCCAGATGGTGTTACCAGGAATGGACTCACAGTCAATGGTCAATTCCCCGGTCCTCTGATCGAGGCCAACTGGTAAGAATCATCTTCCAACACTGTAATGCTTCTACTGACCGTGACAGGGGTGATTGGATCCTTTGGAGAGTTACAAATGATTTGACTGACGAGGGTACTACCCTTCATGCTCATGGCCTTTTCCAGACAGAAAGTACCTGGTATGACGGTGTACCGGCGGTCAGTCAATGCCCGATCACTCCAAACGGCGGTTACTATGAGATGCTTTTCCGGGCCGACCGCTACGGGACGTCTTGGTATCACAGTAAGTTCCTCAGTACTACACTGAGATACGCAAAAGCTAATTTTTAAGGCCATTACAGCGCGCAATACTCCGGTGGCGCCCACGGCCCCATGGTCATACATGGGCCGAAACACGAGGATTACGACATCGACATCGGCCCCATCATTCTCGAAGATTGGTTCCATGCTGACTACTATACCCTTGTTGAGGGCACCATGAACGGCCAATTCCCGCCCTCCAACAACAATCTCATCAACGGAAGAATGAATTACCCATGTGCCAATACAACCTTGCCTTGCACGCCTAATGCAGGTATCTCTAAGTTTAGATTCCAGTCTGGAAAGAAGCATCTACTACGCCTCATCAACACAGGCGCTGAAGGCAACCAGAAGTTCAGCATCGATAGGCACAAACTGAAAGTCATCGCCGTAGACTACATCCCGGTCGAGCCGTACACGACTAACGTCGTCACGCTTGCCGTCGGTCAGCGCACTGATGTTATAGTCGAAGCTATCGGCAAGCCTAGCGATACCTTCTGGATGCGCTCTCAACTTGCTCAAGGCTTTCGCTGTACACTCACCGACGGCATCTCACCTAACGCTCTTGCGGCAGTATACTACGAGGATGCCAGTACCGACGCTATCCCCAAGTCTACCTCTGATGTCACGAAAGAACAACTTGAGCAATGCAAGAACGACCCCATCACCCAGGGTATCCCGCTGTGTAAGGTCCCATTGGAAGAGCCTGACCATGTCGAACGTGTGGACTTTGACTTCCGCTCCAATGGCACCAACTTCATCTGGTATCTCAACAACAGCACCTACCACGGCAACTACAACAAGCCAACGCTACTGAAAGCAAAGCGTAACGAGTCGGACTTCGACCCCGAATGGAACGTGTACCAATTCCCCGGTGCGAAGCATGTCCGCATCCACATGGTCAACCACGGTCTCATTGGCGGCCATCCCATGCATTTGCACGGCCATGACTACCACATCCTGGCTGAAGGCTTCGGAGAGTGGGACGGCGTTGTGACAAACCCAGAGAACACGCTGCGTCGCGATGTCCATCAGATGCAGAATGCACGAAACACCACCGGCACTGTTGAGCCTTCGTACTTGGTACTGCAATTCGTGCAAGATAATCCAGGCGCCTGGCCGCTGCATTGCCATCTCGCTTGGCACGTTAGTGGAGGGCTCTTCATGCAGATCTTGGAGAGACCAGAGGATATCCAGAAGCAGGCATTTGGGGATGAGCAGTTTCAACTTTGCGATGATTGGGATGCTTATACTTCTGAAGTGGTACTGAATCAGATCGATTCGGGGTTGTAAGTAAACTTTCATGTATATAGGGCCCTAGAGTGCGAGCATAGTAAATACCCATGACTTTCCCCAATGGTTGTATCACGTGATTTCACACCTCGCAATTCGATGAAGGGCGCGTGATAGGGTGTTCATAAGTCGAATGACGGCAATCTCATTGCCTGAACATCAGGTATTTTACATTGCTTTCGCGTCTTGTGTAGGTCAAGCTCTCGAGAGGACGCATCCGTGGACCTGGGCAGTTATTGGACACCCCGGGAAGACGCGTTCAAAGGCGGCCGATATGCTGAGCTCCACAATATCGCCGAAGAGACGATCTTGCATCCCGCCGGGCTTTTCGAAAATATACAATTTTCCCTCTCTTGCCGATGGTCAATTTCCGAGGATAAATTTGCAGTAGCAACGGGCTGTAGGCGCCAGGAGAGATGAGATCGGAATATTCGCGCGGGAAGATTTGGTCATGACGTCATGGCTCCGCGAACCCACGGCAGCCCATTAATAAAAGTAAATTAAAGACACCGACGATTAGCAAGAGTTCCGTGCTCACAACATCTACCCTTCATCCTAATCTGCCATTATTGGCCAATGATAATGAGCGCAGGTCCTCAACATCTCAAAGTCCTGTTGACAGGTGGTGCCAGGGGTATCGGGCGCGGGTTGTTCAGACAGCTGCTGACATCTGGACATGACGTCGTCATTCTGGATTCCAACAAAGAAGAGCTAGAGCATGTCCGCACGCGAGCTGAAGAATGGTCAAATGGTCGAAAGCAAAGCTGGTCTGCGCTTGAGTGTGACCTCAGCAAGCGAACGGAGTTGAAGACTGCTGTGGAAGAAGTCAAGCGGAAATTTGATGGCAAGCTCGACGTCTTGATCAACAATGCTTTCCCGACAGACCTATCAATATCGGAGGATCGCAGCATGGAAGCTGAGGGAGAAGACATGGAAAAAGAATGGGATTTAAAGGTTGCGATCGGTCTCACTGCACCGTTCATCCTCAGTCGGCTATGCGTTCCGCTTCTCGCTGCAGGAAGTTCTACTCCGAATTCGCCTGGTACCATCATCAACATGTCATCAACGCGCGCATATCAATCCGAACCTGACCACGAAGCCTACTCATCTGTCAAAGCTGGACTGTTGGGGTTGACGCAGTCCATGTCAGTATCGCTAGGCCATCGTCACAAGATCAGGGTGAATGCGATCATTCCCGGATGGATTCACGTCGCCAACGAAAGCAAAGCTGGCGATGAAGGTCAAACCGAGTGGGAGGAGGGTCTCTCAAAGGCTGATGTCGACTGGCATCCTGCTGGCAGAGTAGGTAAAGTGGAGGATATTGCGAAGGCGGTGGAGTACCTCATAGGCAACGAGTTTGTCACTGGTCAGGAGGCCGTTGTAGACGGCGGTGTCGGGAGAAAGATGGTTTACCCTGAGTAGGCACATGAGAACGTGTAATACCCAACCTTTTCATCAGCTCAAAATTGCGCGCCGTGCGTACGGTTTGCGTGTTGCTGTGAGAGCCCGGTATTTCCAGCCATCCACAGGCGGGCGTCAATCCCCGCCTATGTACAGTACCGCTCTCGGACAACGAAGCTTCTTTGACCGGGCACAAGCCCACGGCTCTTAGACAGTCTCAGTGGCGCAGGGTAGACAAGCGCATGTGATAGCAGATTACACTTATGTATTCAAGACCGTTGGGTAGTGTAGTCTAGCAATACAGCATGGCCGCCTGCGAAGAAAGGGATTACAATGCTTGTTTAGGGTATGCAAGAAGCGACACATCGTCGATCACTACTGAGCTTAACCATACATTACATGCCCGTTAACCAGGCCCAGCAGTCGCTTATGATAGTTCTAGAAGCTCTACTCCAGTAACTTTGAGTCTCGTCGTTTGATCTTGTCCGGTTCCATGTCGTCTTCGGCCTCTTCCTCAACACAAACCCCATCCACATCCTCGCCCCACAGACGTAGCACAGCATCCTTCGTCCAGTCGCACTTTCTCCGAGTGACTGGTTGCCTTGTCATCTTATGTACTTTGTCGCATGCCGCCATAGCCTTTTTAAGTCCTTCCTTGCCCTTTCCATTGAGCCAATTCTCGAATTCAAGAATGTCGGGTATCTGCTTCTTGAACCTTCTGCGGCAGAGTTCCTGAGCGATATGCTTGATTAAAGGGTTTGTGGGAGGGAAGCGACGTACCAACATCTCGAGCTCGCTAATACTGAGAAGTCGAGATGATACGAGCGCGCAAAGGGTGCCGAGGAGAGGTGCAGAGTGAGTGTAGTGGATGCCGAGAACTAAACACGCTTGGTATGTTAGTACATCGTTACGAAGATTACCGGACACAAGGTCAACGCGATCAAGGCCAAGAAGCTTGGATGTAGTGAATACGTCAAGCAAGCGTTTGATACTTCTTTCATCGGCGTGACTATGCATACGAAATCGTGTGATTTGGGGCGTGATCTGAACGACATCATTGGCCTTTTCGCATGAAGCTATCAACGCACGAAGAGCTACGTCTTTCCGGATGACGATACCGCGGGCAATGACATCCACGGTTGGTCCCTCGAGGAGTACCTTGCGGTCTTTGGCATCCAAATCAAGGACGTGATCTCGGCCAATGATTGGCTTAGCACGGACATTTGGTGTGTCGCGCCGTATCACAGGCGACCAAGTTGGCGCAGTCCGGGAATTGGTAGGGAGAGGGTCTGACATATTGGATGAGCCACAACACCGCGGATCGGTATTTATTTGATTGGTTGATGGGTGAGCATAATACAGAATCAGCTCAAGCGAAAAGGCGGAAGTGAGATATAGATGTGATACACAATGCACAATGTGCTACCACAGTCATCCGAGAAACCTTGTCAATGTCTACTTTGACATCAATGTAGCATCTCGAAAGTGTGTTCAGGTTGGACCACATTGTACCAGCGTTGTATTCCTCCTGCTGGACGACATCGGTGAACAAGCACGCATCAGATGTGACGTGCTGAAAGGCACTACGACTGAAAAGATCAGCAAGCAGCTTTGTGGTCATGCACCAGTCCTTTAAGGTGTCGGTCCTCCAGAAGATCGAATAAGAGCTAGCGGCGTAACTTCTCCGTGTTGTGGGCTATAGCGTCATGGTGGCGCACTGCGACCATGTTCCTCTCGACCACGAACGGCACCACCGCCATCCGAGCAGCTTTAGCCCTACTCGAACTCATATGCGATTGTGTGGCCGGATGGGTCCTTGTACCAGCTCAATTGGAAAGAGGCGTACATCTGCCATTGTATCGGTATTCGCGTCGGTTCGATGGTAGTCATGTCGTACTCGTTGACGTTTGCGACATTCGTCCCAGTTGGAGAAGATAGCAAGCTCGCAGGTTCGGAGACGGCAAGGGCTGTTTGTATAAGCGATCAGGGTGCGGCGTAAAGCGAACATGGCGGTTGTGTCATCTGGCGAGACACGGCAGCGTTGAGGAGGATACCTCCCGTCGCATCGGTGCGCGTGCTATGAAATGGAAGGGGGCTCAACCCGGGAGTTTGCTGACCTGCGCACGCGGCCGTGTAGCTCCGGGGAAAGCGAGCGGCCGAAGGACATGCGCATGTCTGTCGCGTCGTGGAGGATTCGAAATAGTCGTAGACAGAAGCCAGGGGGAGACATGCAAGCACCGTGGGTGTGTCGGAGATGCGCACAGAAGGGCTATGATGGCGCATGCGACTCCGAGCGCACGAGAAGCAGCAATGTGAAGGGGTGTGTAAATAAAAGCCGACAGTAATCGTTGTCAGTGTGGAAGGCAGGCCACGGTGCTACGGTTGTGAAGATTCCAAGGTTGCGATGACGTCATCACTAGCGCCTGACACGTGAAAGTTGGCTCAATGTTGAGCTGGACCGCCGAGGTATAATGGAAGAGCCTTCAGACGTATTGCCATGAATTCAGCGGCGGATGCAGTAAGAGCATGAAGCGGACCAAGATCTTGCAGCAATCCCATGTAGGTCGTACGCCATGTATAGTACAATTCCGTCGGGCATCACAAGCTGCGCCTAGCCAGGATTTGGGCCTTGACAGCCTATGTAGGCAACATCAGCGCAACAGGCGTGTAGTGGCAAATACGACATGGCTCTTTGTATGCGCGATCGACAGCTGTAAGTATTGGGTCAATGGAGACGTTGGTTGTGGGCGTAGTGGAGTGAAAGGGCTCAGTATCTTTGGGGGCGTACGCCTTACAATCTATGCTCACCTCACCGCCGGTATTAATCTCGACTACACTATGACGGTGAGACCAGAATCAGAGACAAATACTACTATCGAACGCTCTAAAGCGTAGAATTATGTTTGCGACGTCTTTGGGTGTGCATGCGACGTGTGTAACTCCATCGGTTGGCTGCTATACCGTGGAGGTGCCCAATCGGCGATCAGAGACGTCCGCTAGTATACCCGCTAATGCACCTACGATGTATCTTCTCACAAACGCAAGAGCTGCATTTTGCTACTTCGTCGCAATCTTGACTCTAGGTCCTAGTCGTATATTCACAGGCTGGCTGTGTGCACAATGTCCTCGGCGCCGATTCACTAGAACTTACCCATGTACTACAGACAAGTTGATTGAAAAACACAAGTACAATACGTATAAGTACAACAGTCTATGAAAGCATCCTCGTATTCCACGCGCCAATTTTAACTTTCCAACGTTATTATCTTGTGCGCACCTCTAGCTATACTCGCGGCTACTTTCCCAAGACTGATCCATCCGCCTGCATTAAAACCAACGGCTAGGCGTGCAAATATCTAAACTGCTGCAGCCATAAAGTTCTCGCGCGTGTCGAATTGTTCACACAATCGACTTGGCGTCGTAGACCCCGTGATGATGGATTACTTCTAAGTCGGATGCTGGTGGGACTGTCGATGCTGGCGCCGAAGTGAGGGCCGCCTATCCAATCCTGGCTTAGCCAAGCCCAGCTGCCCGTCTGAAATGTTGTGGTCCATCGCATACCTAGGTAGACATGGCATACATAATTTGAGTAGACCTACTAGCTGACGAGATCTTGATGCTATCTCTAGGCCGCTCGCACTGTCTGGTTGTCTTGTTCAATTTTGGCGGACATCGACAACGTCACCGGTCGCGTCGCTGCACAGGTGCAGGTAGTTACCGACCCCCAGGTCTGCGAATCAACCAACCCTATGCAACCCAAAGTCGCAGTCCCCAATCGCACGCAATGCCTTTGTTGCAACCACCCTCAACTGTTACGACTCATTTGATCTCCGCCCGTTCCCCAACGACCTAGATACCGGTCAGTCCCCACCGACTAAGATGATGGCCTTGTTTCGGCACACACCACCGAGCGAGATGTCTACATGAACATGCAGTTGCTCCACAACGCTACCGCCACCACAAAAGCTTGATCTCACATCGATCTGCGTCGCTTCAACCATTCCGACATCTAGCGAGAACCTGCATGCATCGGAGGTCTAATGAGTGGGTAGTGGGGTAGCGCTGACCGGAACACCAAGGTTTTGCCGGCAGGACACCTCGCATTCGCCTGCGTCTGCGCAGGTAGCACAGTACCGAATACTTGGGAATAGATCACTCTACTGTGGGGTCTGGCTGAATCTGTGTATGAAGCAGCAGGGCCTGCGTAAGATGGAATCGGGATGGAATCGCTGGTAGAACCCAATCTAATTATGGAACCGTGTAGTAGCGCGCTGCGGGCGAGCCCTGACGTCTTGTCAAACTATCGCGAAATGCCTCGCCGTGTCAGCAACGACCCTCAGACCTGACAGTACGCACCCAGAATCTCATCGTGCCCAAACGAGACGACGAAAAAACGAATTCGGCTCTCCATGCTGAGGTCCGAGCAGACTGTGCGACGAATGCACTGCTTCTGGAAACATTCTGTGGATCACCCTTGTGCCGATGCTGTCGATCTCACGTCGGGGATTTTGCGCACCGACAACAACACAGCAACGCGCCAAGATCAACATTCCACAACCGCGAAAACCTTGAAGCCACTTGTCAGCGCCAGCGCTGAAGATACGTCTATCACACCTGTCAGGGTCCGGGCCTTGCTGTAGCTCGACATTAGTAATTGGGAACGTGTTCCGGTGCGCGATACTAGGCAGGAAGTCGCATGTAGCGCGAGGCCGCCAACGGCTTACACGACCCCCATCCACCAATGCCATGGACCGGAATCGTCAGATCTTAGAAGTGGTTACGGCTCGAATCGGTCAGAATGGAGACAAGAGATGCAGAGGGTGAGGAACTGTAGATTGCCGGTGGGTAAGATCGCTGTTTAGTGTTTATCGAATTTCCTACAGTTTGCGCGGATGCGTCGGTACGGCTGTCATCACCATCGGTCTAATTTTGATCGCGACCCATCTCACGGTCAGCCGTTGAGAGCGGCGAACGTTGGTGTTTGGGTATATATTTCTTTGGAGTTTCTCGAGTTTGGTTTCGTCAGGCTCAACAGTCCAGCACGGTTTCGTCTTTCTTTCTTCTTCCAAATTTCCATATACTGGTATCATTGCGATCGTTGAAGTCGAATCTTTGAGCAACACAACCTATCTCCAAGGACCTTCGCTACTTCTCCAACATGCGTTACTCTGCCATCACCCTCGTTGCCCTTACGGCGACATCGTCTTCAGCCTTCTCCCTATGGCCTCGCCAAAGCTCTAGCTGTCCTTCCGTCTGGTCTGATGTCGCCACCGAGCTTCAAGCCGACTTTGCTGGCTGTGGCGCGGATGCTCACCAAGCACTCCGTGCTCCCTTCCACGACTGCATCAACAATGGCTGTGACGGCAGTCTCGTTCTCACAGACGAGTGTGGAAGATCAGAGAATGCCGGTCTTTCCGCTATCTGCACGAAGCTCAAGGACTGGAGCGACAAGTACCAGGTCAGCGCAGCAGACATGATCCAATTCGCCGGCGCACAAGCAATCGCAGCGTGCCCGCTCGGCCCCAGAGTGCAAGCACTAGTTGGCCGTAAGGACAGCTCAAACGCCGCGCCTGTCGGAAGTGTACCCAGCAGCCGTGGTACTCTCGAAAGCATCTTGGGAGCCTTTGCTGCGAAGGGCTTCTCGTCCGACGATGTCGTTGCCCTCATGGGTGCACACAGTGTAGCAGTCCAGTTCCACGACGACCCATCGCAAGCCGGAAAGGGTCTTGACTCGACACCTTTCAGATACGATAACACCTTCTACCAAGAGACCAAGGACCGCAAGGCCCCATACAGTCTCCAGAGCGATCTACTCATGTCAAACTCTTCACAGGTATGTGTTCGCCGTCTTGACCTTCTCACCTGATCTATCACTAACAGCCTTTGCAGACAGCCAGCACATGGTCTAACTTCGCCGAAGACGCGAACAGCTGGTCTACCGCTTTCACTAGTGCATGGGACCGATTTGCTGTTATTGGAAGCGACGCCAGCAAGCTCCAAGATTGCTCGAGCCTGGTCCCTAATGGCTTTGTGACCACGAAGAGGCAGGCGTTCAACATGGCGTTCACCAAGAAGATGAGCGCAAAGTTCAGGTTGTAGGAGAGATAACAGCATATGTTGCTCAGTCTGGGTACTAATAGCGATGGCATGGCGTTTGGTGATAGACCATGGTGGTTCTGGGGCGGCTTTACTATGCTTTCAAGATACTCCGCAATACGTTGCACGTTAATGTTTACTTTCATTAATGTATTACATCAATCTCATCTTATTCATACATCTTCCATTACTAGTTTGTACGCGCTCTTTACCAGAGATCTTCCCTCACCTTTACTATCACCTTTACCCTCATCCTGGCACGTGTTGTGCGAGCTGGCAATGAGCATGCAAGCGCGAAGATGCCGATTACATAAAGTCACCACGTCTGCAACCTCCACCACGATACCCTTCAGCTTGCCTGAATCAGATCTTGCAACCCAAGAAACATGGCGTAAGTGTCCACTACCCATGCAAAAGCTTCAACACTAACCGTCTAGTGGACGAAAGCGCGCAAGCGACATCAGTCAAGACAACGCAACGTCTGCTACCGCAAGCACGCGTGGGAAGCGGGCTCGTAAAGAGATCGTTAACGACAAGTCCCCTCTCCTCAATCTCCCTGGAGGTAGGACACAACTTTCGATCTATTCCAATGCAAGTCGCTAACTGACAACGTAGAACTGAGGAATCGTATCTACAAATACATCATAGCCGACACAAAAGAGTACAAGAGAGGCAAAACACGCGACAAGTCTTATAATACAACATCCAACGCCAGACCCATCGGCCTGAAGTACACTTCTATCATGGCAGCAAAGCGCTACAAGACGGCAAAACAATGGCTCAACGCTCATAAGCGACGCCATTACTTTGGTCTTACCCAGACCTGTCGCTTGTTCCGCCACGAGTTCCGTCCGCTCTACCTCGAAGAACTGTCTTTTGGGATCAAGTCAGGTCTTGGTCATTTCCTTGTAATCTTTGGACACAACGACGAAATTCAGGCCATGGGTCATCACATCATCAACATCATGAGCGATTCTCTGCCGCACGATGGTATAGACTTACTAGCTGTCTTGAAGAAGATGTCTGATCTCAAGATGCCAAGTCTTCTATTTCGCTACAGGAAGTACTCGAGTCTGGAGCCTTGGAACATCAACGACCTGTTTCTTACGTTGGCATCACGCATGGATTCTCTTATAAAACCTATTGTCGAGGGTTTCGATCTCACCAGTATTACAATCTTCAAGGACCCAAAGCGGCATGGCTCTAAACAGCGCAGTCAGCCAGCGGTACGAATGAACCTGGACAACAAATGCTTTTCCACATGGAGCCAAGAGAGGAAAGAGAGCCACATGAAGTCTCTGATCAGTTATGTTGGTCTGGAAAAAATTGATGGCAATCACACAACAATTTGCTGTGACGGTCGAAGCTATCTGTGGTATGTTCCCGGCATGATATACGATGACTGGAATGCCTCAGAAATGCGATTGCTTTCGGAGGAGACTGACTAGAGATTCGCGTTTTGTCAGCGCCATGAAGGAACAACATGCATGGTTTTGGATAATGCGAGAACGATGGGTACTGCAGTATCATGCTAAAAGTTATGGTTGCGGAAAAGTTGAGCTCATGGAATTGTTCAGCAGTTCCACACAGGAGCTATGAGTCGCAGGAGATGGTCCTTGAGGCTTGCTTTTTTTGCCTTTCTATCCTTCTATATGCAAGTAAAAGTCTGTTATCGGTTTTGCATGCTGAATCAAAAACAAAATTGTCTCCGTGTGGGTTCCCAAACTGCTAAGAATATACGCTGTCGTGTGACCTGTCACACATCGATAATTAGTGCAGCAAATAGCCAAACGGTATCTTATGTCGATTGTAACAGTCCATCCCAAGAATTCCGCAATGGCTGTTGACGGTGTGATAGTCTTGACAAGTAAGGATGGGAAGTAGCTTCCGTATTGACTCCAATGACGTCATGCGCGCAAGCCTGGTCGAAAAGGTCCGCGGCTGACAATCTCAGAGGGAAGATGCGAACTTCATCTACCCTTGTAACAACAGTGCCACGCCTACCCTCCAAAGAAACAAGCTCTACCTACACACCAACACCATGACCGCACCTTCGTCCTTGACATCTCCACCCGATACTCGCAGATCGCGCGAAATCGACCTCATTCACGAAAACGACACGTCGTTCTCAACTATCGCGTTCTTGCCTACAAACACTTCTCTGGTCTCTCCAGGAATACCAAGGTCCACTGCTGGAGATGACAACCGTGTTACAGTCTACGTTCGCACTCATCACATACATGGTATGGTGGTACAAACCGCTCAACATCTAAATACCCATCATCATCGTCAGGGAAACAGGCGCGCATGCTATGGCAGCACTTCTTGCTGTATTCTCCACGCAAGATTATGCTCAAACAAACAGGGTTAGTAATCGTAATCCGAATACACCGGTGGTAAATACGAACCCTCCGGGAGATATGGGAATAGATATACGAAAGGAGGGCTTGTGTAAAGGCCGGCTTGTGGGGCTGGAAGTATTAAAACTTAGCTACGTCACTGGGAGTACCGCACGCTTACCGCCCAAAAGATGAGCCCGGTGTCGCATCGGGTAATCGGTTCATCAGGCCGGTTTGTAGAGCGACACTGGCAGGCTAGAAAGAGCGGATGCATCTCCGCCATAGTAATGTGCCACTGCCTGTATTGTTGTCGAGAATGTATATGGCACAGGGACAGAGGGACGAAACTGTAGTTCCGGGCGCGTGTGAAACTGCATCTTTTCGAGCTGGTTGCGGTACACATAAGTCTGGCGGCAGCTTGAGAAGGGTAGCGAGGTCCCATACGAGGCAGCCTCTGCCCGCTAGGATACTACTATGTGACTACATCAAGTGATGCAGGGCGCATAGCATGGAAAGAAAGGTAGAGGGCAACATACTTCAATGCATGCGGGAAGACAGCTTTGCGACACTGTGGTGGTCCGCATAACTCGGGCTGAGACTCCCGAAGTTGGGGCAGCTATGACTTCAGGACGCCTGCCGCTTCGGTACCCGTGGTTACTAGCCGTCTTCGTGTCCGACAGAATACTACACTACCAACTGCTTATACAATATAGTGCGCATAGTATAGAAATAAAGCTGCGATACCGCACATTTCCGTGCTCGCGCGTAAGCAACTATGTGTTAAGATCGAGGTACACATAACCTCAGCGGGGACCTAAGATAGTCCCGGGGCTATGACGTTTGCCGTTCTAGGTAGCTGAGTAGCCGACGGAGTACTATGCACTTATGTACATCGTATTTACATGTGCGCATACTACGACATAATAATGAGATACTGCGAATGCCTCTTCAGCTATGTGCATGCCTTAGCAATGCTTTCGTAGCTCACGTTACTCTAACGGTAGTAGGTAGTCGATGGGGTAGGTTTGCCTTGGCACTGTAGATGGTTGCACGCCCGCCAGGATACTGCGCCTCCAAGCGGGTCACTATTGCGAATATAGGTAGTGTTAGAATAAAGCTACAGCTCAGTGCTACTATATTTAAATGCTCAGACGTCTACCTGGGACTAGCCCAGTGCATATAATCCGGGCGCGATAGCGAAAGACGCCTTCGCACAGCGCACGCAGGCCAACAAGCGCTGCAACGGACAAGCGCGTGGAATACAATCACCCGTCAATCAATTTCAGAGAGAAGACCTAGACCATTCGAGGCCTACATCGACGCGACTGATTTGCGATCTGCTTCGTTTATTGTGATGTGTGCTGCATAGCCTTTTCATCTCCGCGTTATGCCAGGTAATCACGCCGACTTAGTCACCATAGTATGGAATGCCACGCAGCGCGGAGAGCGCGCATGGGTTCAGGTCCCGGCGTAGAGCGCGCCCAAATCGCGTGCTGCACGATGGCGTCATCAAGCTCTAGTCTAGGGTTCCTTCCACCGAAGCCACTGCGAACGGCGCCCAAATGCCCTTCAACTTTCCAGACCCTGCGCATCAAGGAACATACATACGCAGAATATACCGCGACCTGTAATTCATGTCATGCGCATTCGCATCGGGAAGAGAGATCTATCCGAAGTTCTGGAGCGTTGCATCCCAAGGTCATTCGGGTACTCGCATTAGCTTGTTCAAATACCATTAATGCGGGACGCCGTTTATACTGATAGACACAGCACACAAGACAGAAGTACACGGAAAAGAGTTATCCACAACTACGCTCGATTTGGGTAACTGCCTGTTGTGCTAATCGCCTATGCCCAGTTCATTGCTCGTTTGAAGACATGCGACAGGACGTTAGACAATTTCCAACTTAAATCTAGCCGACGACAATGCGAATCTGACTCTTCTATGGACCTCTATACTGCACCCTAAAGACATACAGTGTGTTTCGTACTTTTAGAACCTCGAGCAAGAATTTAATGTATACCTCAAAAGCTGTTTTATGTGCGCTCTTTGTCCGGCAAGAATTTAATGTATATCTTAAGGGTTCTTTTATGTAGGCTCTTTGTCTGGCAATAGTTTAACATATACTTTAAGGGTTCTTAGAAATCTGAGGATTGCTATCTTCTTGTTAAAGTCTAGCATCTTGTTGGCTGTTTCTTGTCGTGGATTGGATCACTGCCTAGGTCGCTTCGGATGAGAACAGCGAAATTTATAGCCAAATGCGCATAATGCACTAGGTAGTACAAAAGATAAGAGCACGTGATTGAACCCAGAGGCGCTCGAACTCTACGTCTCTTGTTGCAACATAAGGTATATTGCACTTGTTTCTACATGGACGGATGATAGAAACCTTTGTCTAAAGTAAGAGTACAGATAGCTAGACGAACTCTCTGTTGCCTGCAGTTAATAATGCGGTGCGGGCTGCGACGGATGCAAGCTTGTTACATTCTGCGATGGTCGTCAATGCTTCGGCGATGCTTGCGCCTAGAAAGATATGAGAGACGCATTCGGAAAGTTGGGAACTGTGATGTGTTATGAGGAGGATAAAGCCACTGGGTGGCGACTGGAATACCTAAATCGCCGGTTATCGGTTCCAAGTGACGTGAGACGACCCCAGAACGCTTACCGCGCGATTGGGGAAGCTGTGGCCGCACCTAGTGGCATTGATCTTTTGAAGGCGACTAGTATCGAGTGGACGTGTTATCAGGACGTGAATCAGCTTCAAATTGACCGCGGCAACCTGCAGATGAGAATACACACAGCACGAGAGCATCAATGGATTGCATCGGTATGCACATGATCAAATAGATAGACAGATCAGCATGCAATGGAAAGAATAGCAAAGTCTGCAGAGCAGCGTAATGATCATGAAGAAGTAGAAGTATCATTCCAAAAACATCGCTACAAGAATCGAAGTTACCCATCTAGGGTAAGTATATATACAAGATGAATATCGCAAAAGATGCGAGATTGTCTACTGAAGGGCCTCGATCATGCGGCGGATCTTAGCAGCAGACTCGCTACCAGCCTCCTGCTCAAGGAAAGCAATGAAGGTCTCGAGGGTGTAGGTCTTCTCACCAGCACCGGCTGAGGGTGCGGGTGCGGATGAAGCAGCAGGCTTGGTGGGCTCAACGGCCTCAGGTGCGACGGAGGTGGGCTCAGCCTCGATCGGGGCGGCAGGGGTGGGCTTAGCAGCTGAGGGCTTGGGAGCCTCAGGGGTAGGCTTGGGGGCAGCGCCGGTGGGCTTAGGGGCAACGGCAGTGGGCTTAGGGGCAGGAGCGGAGGGCATAGGACCCTTGGAAGGACCAGGCTTGTTGGCCTCAGGCTTGACGCACTGGGAGTAGTATGGGTTCCACTCCTTGCACTCAAGACCCTCAGCGCACTTGTTGTCACCCTTGAAGCCCTGGCCACCGCACTGGTAGTACTCCTTGATGGGACCAGATGGCTCAGCGGTAGGAGTGGGGCGGACAGCGGTGAGCATGGTGCTAGGAGCAACGATAGCGCTGGAGACAGTGCCAGGAAGCATCGAAGAGGTGCTGTTGGCTACGGGGTAGGGAGCAACAACGCTGGAGACCTCAGGAGCAGCGGCAGAAGAAGCGGCGGCCGAGGTAGCGGCAGCAGAGGTGGCGGCAGCGGAGCTCTCAACGGCAGAAGAGACCTCAACTGGGGCAACCGAAGAAGGCTCAGCCTCGGCAGCGGCGCTGGTGGAAGCGGGAGCAGCAGTGGAAGAGGCGACAGCGGAGGCCGGGGTGGAGGCAGCAGGAGTCTCAGCACCGCCGGTAGCGGTAGCAGCAGGGGCACCAGCGAGCTCGCCGAATGTGAGAAGCTCGGGGGTAGCCTCAGTACCACCCGCGATGAGAGCAGGGCCAGGGGCGGGGTATGAGTCGAGATCGGCGTGGATGGAGAAACCAAGACCAGGACCAGTCTTGGAGTAGGCCTCTGGGAAAGTGACACCCTTGGGCTCGAGGGTTCCGCTACCGGTGACGGTAAGCTGGTAGCAGGTCATGTAGTGCTGAGCACCACCAGCGGGGCCTGCAGCGTGAAGGGCGATAGCCTCAGCACGGAGGAG